CCTAAACCCTAAACCCTAAACCCTAAACCCTAAACCCCCAAGCCCTATCCCTAAACCCACATAGCCACAGTATCAAGGAAAAGAAGCAAAATGCTACTCCTTCCAGACCTGGGCTCGCCAATCACTGCATCCTTGGGGACCTATCGCGGTTTAGGCTTTAGGGTTTAGGATTCTGGGTTCAGGGTTCAGGCGCATTTGCTTTTGCGAAAGGCCCTTTGCCACCCGCATGGGTTGGGCGGGGGGGGGGGGGTACTTTTTGTTATAAGGGGGTGGGCGGGGTGAATCCTACTATTTGGGTCCATATCACAGGAATCAGGGTCCCTTTTTATCGTCAACCCCAACATCAGCACAGGGCTCGTTGCTGAGGTTTCTCTCGAATCTGACACTAACAGAAGCCAAACATCAATTCGTGGAGTTTTTCGCCTTGCAAGATACCAGCGACGGTTCTCTTCTTGAAAGACCTTATTTCGCACATGTAACCATGCTGCTTTGTCATGTCACTTGTGCTACTAGTATCACTGCCGTCATGTCATAATTAAGGCTCTTCAGGGACAATTAAGCCTAATTAAGGTGATTTAAGGGGGGAACCGGGGGGGGGGAGGGGGCGGGGTGGTAGGGAAACCCATGATCATGAGGCAGATCACCTGACCCTGGCACCGACCCAGGATGGACCCAAACTGCCTACATCTCAGAAGTAGCTCAGGAATGAACAGGAATGAAACGGGTAGGTTGTTCTTTTTGTAAACAGGAGGTTTAGGGTTTCGGGTTTAAAGGGTTTAGGGTTTCGGAGGAACCGTCTTTCGTTTGAGAGAACCGGTTTTGAAGTTCCCCCTAACCCTAAACCCTGAACCCTCTGCCCTAAACCCTAAACCCAAACCCTAAACCCTAAACCCTAAACCCTAAACCCTAAACCCTAAACCCTAAACCCTAAACCCTAAACCCTAAACCCTAAACCGACCACATCCATTCCGCACCCACAGCCAGTCAAGGGGTATAAGGAGGCGCCCCTAGAAGGGACCCATAATATTATTCCCCTATACAAGCACCAGATCTACCTTATAGAGCCTAAGTATGAATCTTACTCCCATATATAAGCACCAGATGTACCTTATAGAGCCTAAGTATGAATCTTATTCCCCTATATAAGCACCAGATGTACCTTATAGAGCCTAAGTAGCCCCTAACATGACCCCTAAGTAACCCTTAAGGTCCGGTATAAGGGTCCCGTGCTCAAGGATGTATGAAAGTCACGCGGCTCGATACCCTGAACCTTACGTGAGCTTGGTAGCACAGCAACCATCTTATAGCAAGGGCACCCTCTTTTGGTTGGTTACTTCATAAGAGAAACCCCAGAACCAAAAAAAAACGAAGGGTACCACTGGGCTACCAAGTGGGAGTGATCTGGAGGTACTGCTACAGGGCATCCTGACATGCAAGAATGAATCCCTCCGTCCAAACTTGCTCTTTGAGTGGGTTTGCCCTACAACCTGAACCCTAAACACTTCTGAACCCAGACTGGACAAATCCGAAACCCCAGGCCCTAAACCCTAAACCCTAAACCCCAAACCCGAAACCCTGAATCCTAAACCCTAAACCCCAAACCCGAAACCCTGCGGAAGGACCGGCCTCCTGCCTCAACCAGCCTTGGCGTTGGTCTCACGACTCCCGCGGGGCTTTCAGGGGCTCTCGGTACTAGGCCTGCAACGCTACACCCTAAACCCTAAACCCTAAACCCTAAACCCTACACCCTGAGATTTACGGTGAGCCCTGGACATTTGGGCACCCCAGCGGCCTTCAATAGAGAGCTGTTGTGCCCAAGTCCAGGGGCTCAGGTGAAGACGTGGGTGGTTTAGGGTTTAGGGTTAGGGTTTAGGGTTTAGGGTTTAGGGTTTAGGGTTTAGGGTTTAGGGTTTAGGGTTTAGGGTTTAGGGTTTAGGGTTTAGGGTTTAGGGTTTAGGGTTCTGGGGCTGGTCTCTCCTTTAGCGGCCATTAACTGGGATGTTCACCCTTATACCAACAGTCCTTAATAGGGACTTTAGTACCCCCACCCCCTATGACAAATCCTTATGGAGGACTGGCAGTACAAGGGGGAACATCCTAAGCCATTAACCCTAAACCCTAAACCCTAAACCCTAAACCCTAAACCCTAAACCCTAAACCCTAAACCCTAAACCCTAAACCCTAAATTCCCTACTGTGAACCAGCCAGCATTGCGCAGCACGGGAGGGGTCAAGGAGCCATGTCAAAGAGGTTGGCAACTCGAACTTCCCAGACCACGACCCCGATGCCTAAGGGTTTAGGGTTTAGGGTTTAGGGTTTAGGGTTTAGGGTTTAGGGTTTAGGGTTTAGGGTTTAGCCTCCAGCCTAAGCCCTAGACTCTACTCCCCTTAGAACCTGCATAAAACAATCCTTGTACTATTCTCTTGGGGTCTTGCAGAAATGAAAGTAAACAAAACAAACCTTCCTAAGGGGGCTATAGTATAAGCCTCAAACCACGAACCTGCCCTGTAAGTTGGTATAAAAGGGGGAACATCCCAACCCTGAACCCTGAACCCTGAACCCTGAACCCTGAACCCTGAACCCTGAACCCTGAACCCTGAACCCTGAACCCTAAACCCTAAACCCTAAACCCTAAACCCTAAACCCTAAACCTTAAACCTCTAAGGCCCCAAATCCCCGAACCTGCAGACCGAAGGGCTGATGACGCCGTCCAGCGGGTTGCGCGGCCACTTTGCGGCTTGCGCCCGGAAGCCCTGTCTTTCTGGCTGGTTCTTAGTCGGGAATGAGGTACCCTATATAGGGTTTAGGGTTTAGGGTTTACAGTTAATCCCCTTAAAGGGTAACTATAAATGGGACCCCTGAGAATTCCTCAAAGGGATAGAGATACCCTGTAGAATCTCTTAAAGGGTATATGAAGGGCCATGTGATTCCCTACTAAGAACCAAGGGATCTTTGGAAGCGTGTACCGGGGGAGAAGGGAGGGAGTTGCCTTCCTCCTAGCCACGCTGGAGCAGAAGCAACAAAAGTGCGAAGTTTCGTGGTTGATTGTAGTAGGGAGCAAGGGGTAAGGGCTTCCACGGTGGTGGGGTTATATAGGGCATGAATGGCAACATCCACCTCCCCCAGGACACTGGGCTTCAATCATCGGGTCATTCAGGAACCCAAAAAGCCCAATATAGCTTAATTAAGGAATATTCCTTAAATGCCTTAAATCATATAGGGATCCTTAGTATGATTTAAGGTATATTCCTTAATTAAGCAATATTGGGCTCTTTGGGAACCTTAGGGAAGCTTAGGGAGCCTTAGGGAGTAGTGGGGAGGGAACCTGGGGTTCCATAGCCCCCTTGAACCCTGCTCCCCTAAGAACCCGATACTTGAAGTTTACAAAACCCGAAAGCCCAACCCCCTAAACCCTAAACCCTAAACCCTAAACCCTAAACCCTAAACCCTAAACCCCAAAGGGTTTTGCTTCCCACCTCATGGTATGCTTCCGCCAGGGACGGGTCATCACTGAACATGCTCCTGAGGCTTGGCTTGGGTTTCTCAGCCTTTCCGGCTATCTAGGGTTTAGGGGTTAGGGGTTTAGGGTTTAGGGTTTAGGGTTTAGGGTTTAGGGGCTTAAGGGCAATCTGGGGATGATTGTTCTACTTTTTTGGGGGTGGTCCTTAAGCAAATGGTAGTTTCTTGTTTAAACCAGACATGGCATAAAGAAGCTGACTCGTCCACAAAGGCTTGAAAACTCGGACCCTGATCCTCGACTCCCGATCGGCACTGTAACCACACTCACATGGGGGGTTCCGACAATGGGGTGCCGTATTTTAAGGATTTCTGTTTTCAGGTGTATAGAAGGGGGTCCCTCACATTCGCAAACCCCCACATCTCATCAAGAGGCGAAATCAAACCGGGCACAACAAGGCCCATCCAAGAGCAAAGTCCATGCAATCCAAGAGCAGACAACAAACCAGTTCCATACTTTGTACACGCGGGTACACATACATACTTTACAAATCACATGGTCACTTCTCTAAAGTTCGGGTCCTTACTACAAGATGGCCCCTCATACTTAGGGTACCAAAAACGGGACCCTCATGTAGAGCTCTACACACAGGCGTTACACCGCTTTGGAAAGCCGGGGGGGGGGGGGGGGGGGGGGGGGTTCCCAAAATCAGAACCGAAAGCCCTGAAACCCTAAACCAGTTCTTCTTTAACCCCGCACCCAAACCAAAAACAAAAACAAGCCCAACAGCACACACACACACACACACAAAAAAAAAAAAACAAAACAAAACACACACACACACACCCACACACCCACACAGACAAATGCAAACAAAAACAGGCAAAACCCCAAAACCCTAAACACACTACAGTAGAAGCCAAGGCTCAGAGCCTCCTGGCCCGTCATGGTGTACAGCGACTCATTGAGACACCGGAACCTGTCATGGCCGTAGGAGAAAAAGGGGTTTAGGGTTTAGGGTTTAGGGTTTTTGGGCCTTAGGGTTTAGGGTTTAGGGGGAGGAGAAATGTAGGAGTACAGAAACTGTGGTAATAAAGGCACACGGCCAACTGCCTGTACATGGCCGAGCCAAGTCTCAGGCGCCTCCGAGATCAGCAACAGCATTTTCTGTGCTTGAACACTAAACCCTAAACTGGCGCCCCTGAATTTCAGACCGTACCTCCACTTCGAACTTCGATTTGTCTAGGCCAGGTCCCTAGGTATTTTTCGGGTGGCCATTTCGGGCATTGTTTGCAAAGCCAGTAACGCTTTAGGGTTTGGGGTTTGGGTGTATGAAAAACCCTGAACTTAACCTGACCAAGGTCATACGTTTGGGGCGGGATTGGGAGGGAACGTGAACCTTGGCATGCACCACATCACACTTCCTGCGTGGGGGTGCGCGCAAAGCATGTGGCAGACCCTACGCACCCTAAATCTAAACCCTCTAAAACCCTCTAAACCCTCTAAACCCCTAAACCCTCTAAACCTTTTTAAACTTTGAAAAACCCTTTTGAACCCGTTTAAACCCTTGAAACCCTTTGAACCCTTTAAACCCCTAAAACCCCTACACCCCCTAAACCCTCTAAACCCTTAAAACCCTAGACCCTAATCCCTCTAAACCCTCTCAACCCCCTAAACCCTTTACACCCTAAACCCTCTGGACCCTAAACCCTAAACCCCAAGCCCTAAACCCCAAACCCTAAACCCTAAACCCCAAACTTTAAACCCCAAATTTTCCCCCTCGCGCGCCTGGAGCCCTTAAGGCGCTGCGCCGCGCCCCCGAGAACGGAGTTCGGCCGCTTCGGAGCCTTGGGGCCTCTTGGTATGGGTTAGTCCGAATTCCCGTTTAAGGGATCTGGGGTTCTCTCCATGGACTTGGACTTGAAACCACGCTGACGCACGCTCGCCTGCCTCCTTCTGCGTCGATTGGGACCTGCTTCTTCTTGTGGAGGGCGGCGCCGACAGTGGAGACAGGCTCTTGGATAGCAGGCCAACTAAAGCACATGCCTAGGCCTGAAGGGCCTCTTTAATTCAAGACGTTGGGGTTTAGGGTTCAGGGTTTAGGGTTTAGAACCCCCACACCCTGGAAGCCTTCACATCCCAACTCCCTCTGACCGCATGCGATGTAGCCATGCCATGAAGCAACAAAAGCAACGCTAGCTACCAAGCAGCACCATGATCAATCCCTTCTTCGAACCCAGGCTCTGACCATCAGCGGATCAATCCCTAAACCCTAAACCCTAAACCCTAAACCCTAAACCCTAAACCCTAAACCCTAAACCCTAAACCCTAAACCCTACACCCGCAAGCCCCGAGCCGGGCAAGGTGCGTGCTTCCCGCGAAGACGTCCCAATCGCCTTGCCTGCGGTGCGTTTCGCCGTCCAACCCCTTGCGATCGGACCCAAAGGCGTAGCATTTCGGCAAAGTCTCCGCTGGGCTTACGGCTTAGGGTTTAGGGTTTAGGGTTTAGGGCAAGCTCACTTCTAGCGGCTGGGGGCTTCTTGAGGTTTTTGCCCAATCCTGGGGGGAGCAGCCCGGTTTCGACTCCCACGTTCCTCCTGTACTGAGAAAACAAGGCGGCAGCAAGATGGAAACACTACACACGTTCAATAATCTGAATATGATGTCCATGTATATATATATATATTTATATTTATTTATCTATCTATTTTGTTTACCTATCTACTTGTCTATTTATTGTTCATGAATATTTATTCGTTTAGATTTGTGTATTCAAATATTGTAAGTTTTATACATATATATGTATATATGTGATGCATTTTATTCGGCAAGCCAATGCACATGCGCTTTGCCTTCCTTCTGCTTGGCTTTTTGCCGCTTCCGTGCCTCCAAGCAGATGTAAGTCACTCAGCGTAATTACTCTCCAAACCTAAACCCGAAACCCTAAACCCTAAACCCTAAACCCTAAACCCTAAACCCTAAACCTTTCCGGCCTTTGGGTCGACGGAGTTTTTTTGCCACAGGTCTAGCACTCCACGACGGGGCACTGACTAACCGAGTGCACAACAAACCCGAACTTGAGTATCACTTCACTATAGGGTCCTTCAGGGAGGGGGTTTAGGGGTAGGGTTTAGTAGGGCATGAACTTGTGTACACTTCTTGGAATGTTCCCCCTTATACTAACAGTAGGACTGTTAGGATAAGGGGCCAACATCCCAAATCACTTCACTATAGGGTCCTTAAGGGAGGGGGGGTTTAGGGTTTCGGGTGTAGGGTCTCGGGATTTACCCCTTAAACTAACAACAGGACTGCTAGTGCAAGGGGGAACATCCAAAACCACTTCACTATAGGGTCCTGTTTTGGGTTTCTAGGGAACCCAGACAAGCCTAGGGAGCCTTAGAGAGTAGTGGGGTGTACTCGGAAACCTTGTCGTGCATACCCCCTCCTTGAACCCCCCCTCCTTAAGAGGATCAGTAAATTAATCCGAATGACTCATGCTCTTGCGTGACTCTGGGGCGCACCATCCATGAAGCCTCAACCCCCAACCCCCCAGCCCTAAAACCCTAACCCCTGAAACATTGAAAACGTTGTTGAATACGATCCTAGGCCTAAACCCTAAACCCTAAACCCTAAACCCTTTAAAGGGTCGAAGCCCTGGAGCGGCCTTCTTGCTCGCCGGCGCCTCCTTCGCAGCTGGCCGAGGTGCCGGTGCCCGGCTGGCCGCCTGAGGGTTTCGGGTTTATGGTTTAGGGTTTAGGCAGTTCGGACTTGCTCGAAGGTAAGGGGTTTGTCTTGGGGTTCTTGCGTACCTTTTAAAGGGCCACCCCCCCCCCCCCAACAAAACAACAAAACATAACAATAAGTCAAATAAACAAATAAATGAACCCTAAACCCTAAACCCTAACCCCTAACCCCTAAACCCTAAACCCTAAACCCCCAACCCAAAAGCCGGAGGGATGCAGAGTTCAGCTCGGGCGCAACCCCCTACAAAGAGCCAGTGGATAACACCTCCGCCCTATCTTCTCGAAGCTCCAAGACCAATAAAAGAGGGCTTACAGTTTAGGGTTTAAGGTTTAGGGTTTAGGGTTTAGGAGAAAACACTAAAGAATAAAAGAGGGCTTACAGTTTAGTAGTTTAGTGCTTGGGGCTTAGGGTTCATGATGCCTGCGAAATACAGAAGCAAGTAAAACTTCAAGTTCAGCGATTGGCCAACTCCTTCGGCTAGCCTTCCCAGTTCTCAGACACATATACAAGGACGCACGTCTAGGTCGTGGACGTCTAGGCTGACTCAGAAGCTTGGTGAGTTGCATTTCAAATTCCTGACTTTCCCGGAAACCGAGGCCCAACACAGAATCCCAAAGACGCTAAACGTCCCAAACGCGACATGCCCTGCTGATGAACCTTGCAGCATCCTCTAAACACCCCTGGACGTACCCTAAACCCTAAAACCTAAATCCTAAACCCTAAACCACTGTAGTTCTTCATAAGGGGAGGGACCTTAAGCTCCGCTAGAGAACCTTTTCAGGAACCTATTTGATAGGCATGGTCGAAGCATGGTAGGGAACGTTTGGCCCTCAAAGGTTTAGGGTTTGGGGTCATTTTGGCGCCCGCATAGCAGGGAATAGGGTTTAGGCTTTACGGTTCATTTGGTCCGCAGGATTCCGCAGGGAATCTCTAGGGAAGCCCACAGCCAAACTCAAGCTAACCCTAAACCCTAAAGCGCCTGCGATTTGGGCTTGGGGCGCGCGGCGCCGGACCGAAACAGCGATGCAAACCTTGGCGCATGCTTCGGATTCAGGGTTTAGGATTTAGGGTTTAGGGTTTAGGGCGGACTGAATCGCCTTGAGAGCATTGAAGCAACCAGGGCTTTGGGTATAGGGTTTAGGGATTAGGGTGGTATATATAGGGTTTAGGGTTTCGGGTTTGAGGTTTAGGGTTCTTAGGGATTGGGTTTAGGGTTTACAAATTTGCATGACCATCAGTCTTGCTACACGCCACCTCATAACCATGAACAAAAGCCATCAGATTCTTCACATAACCGTCCAGGGTGTAAAACAACCAACGAGACCTGTTCAAAGTCCAAAGGATTCTTGAATTTCAGCACCCATACCTACAGCCGTATGGCGGCTGGCACTTTGGCTGTCCAAAAATGTCATTGCACAAAAATGGAAAACAGAACACGACCTGGGCTACATCTAGCCGGTTTCCACAACACCACTGCTAGGTTGACAGCACATATGAGGCTCATCCTTGCAAAGCTGACCAAAGGCAACAGACAATACCATGGCGCGTCTGCCTTCATGCCTTCAGGAGCTTTCAACCGGACAGTTCACGACCTGCCAAAAGTAGAACCAAACACCATCTTAGAGCGTAATATAGGGGCCTTAATGCTTAGAATAGGGTATTGGGGATATTGTAGTATAACTATAAAGGGACCATACGGAAATACGACTAGTAATTATTCGATCCCTACAATATGTAAGTTTTTCCGCCCTCACGCAGCAGTTACATGACTTTCGCAGGCGGCATGAGTTTTCTAGGGGAGCTTCTGAGAACTTCTGAGTCAAGAGCCAAGAGCAACATGCGCCCAAGTCCTCAACACAAAAGTTACAGGCAACACTTACAGAAACACCAACCTCCAAGCGTGTTCTTGCTCCACCCGCAAAAGGCAGGCGCAGCTGGAAACATCCAAGACTTCGCGAACACATGAAAATGAGTGTCCCTAAACCCTGAACCCTGAACCCTAAACCCTTTTGCATCCGGGCTTGGAAACCCTTTTTCACAAGGGACTCGACTGCTGCCCTTTCTGCCCAGCCCGCTCCCACGCTTTCCAAGCCTAAACCCTAAACCCTAAACCCGAAATCCCCCCTCCTCGAGCATAGCAGGCCCCAAGCTCTACATCCCCCAGGCGCGGTCCCTAAACCCTAAACCCTAAACCCTAAACCCGGTTCAGGCGCGAGGCATCCCGCCTGGCCGCGCTAGATGCAGGACTCCGGCGGCAGAGCAGCAGAGAGGACCATGGCTGTAGAGTCTATAGGGTTTAGGGTTTAGGGTTTAGGGTTTACTCTCCAAAGAGCCCAAGAACCCTTGAGTAAGGAATGCACCTCGAACCATATTAAGGCTTCTATAATTTAAGGTATACTCCTTAGTTACGGGGTATTGGGCTCTCTGGGTCCTTGTGAATATCGGAAAGACAATGGTGATGAGATGTCACGCCAAGTTGTGCCGCTTCGGCTTTGAGTGCCATGGCCTACATTGACCTTGGGGTTTAAGGTTTAGGGTTTAGGGTTTAGGGCCTACCTTGACCTTGGGGTCCGTTGCCTGGCACGTCTGCACGCTTGCGCTGCAAACAATCAGAACGCACTTTGCAAGAACATGCGCGGAGGAGAAGCCCACGTTGCGGTAACAAAAACCCTAAACCCTAAACCTGAAACCCGAAACCACAAACCCCAAACCCTACACCCTAAGCCCTAAACCGTAGGTTCTCTTGCAGGAGCCAGTTGCACTTGAATCGTGGACGGCACTGTAGGCAGCATGGTTTAGGGTTTAGGGTTTAGGGTTAAGGGATGCGAGTGCCTGCATAAAGTCTCATTGCTAGGTCTCGTCGCGCATATGCATGGACTAACACTGCACCGGAGCGCCAGAGATCAGCATCCCGAAACACTTCTGCCCTTATGTGAATGCCAATGCAAAAAGAAGATGCAACCCCTGATTGAAATGGGGCTTGGCAAGCTGTATTGTCGGAAATACGAATCGTAGCTGAGATGAGCTGCTCATAGACGGCACTTTGAACACGGGGGCAATGCATCGAAGCGCAGCAGCACTGTTCGGCTGCCCTGAAACCGACACAGCTCGGCTGCTGGAGTTTAAAAGCGAAGGAGCCAAGACAGGTCAAGCGGTCCGCAGCGACAGCTGCGAAACCGTCAGAAGCCTTGAAACTTCCTCCTTGGAACGGACGCGTGTGTTGTGGGAATGGCCAGGCGCTGAGCGGCATCCTAAACCCTAAGCCCTAAGCCCTAAACCCAATTAGCCTTCTGTGAACTGTTTGCTTGGATTTTGTTCCACATCGAAACTTCGAGGTGGCAACCAGGAAGCCTTTCCGGCACGCGAAGATCACCCGAATATCCCATGGTGATGGGGCTCGCGGGTGCGCGAATTCAATTTCGAACCCCCCTGGATCTCTCCTGGGCTGCTAACCTGCCATTGTCCATGCTAGACCACCGGAAAACATGTCATATATGTATATGTCTATAATACCCTAAACCCTAAACCCTAAACCCGAAACTCTAAACCCTAAACCCTAAACCCTAAACCCTAAACCCTAAACACATACATACACATTTGTGCGACATTTAGCATCATCCTCTGAAACCCAAGAAGGGGAAATCTAAAACATCCGAGCATTTAGGGTTTAACCCTTAACCCTTAGCCCTAAACCCTAAACCCTCTTAGTTAGTATAAACAAAGTCTAAACCATAAAAACCCTAAACCCTGAACCCTAAACCCTAAACCCTAATAGGTTCCCCAGGGCGTTCGTGCAACAAGCCGTATCAAGCTTGGACAAATTTCCTGCATCCCTTAGGCCTTCTGCTACTGCTCCAGGGGGCCCCGAAGGGTTTAGGGTTTAGGGTTTTTTGGCAGGTTTAGGGTCTAGGGTTTAGGGTCTAACCCTCACCGGCTTCGACCAGACTCCCAAAAAGTGTGGCTCGAAACCTACTTTTTGCTTAGGAACCACCGCAAATATTCTTCCTTGTAAGGGTAATACAGGGACTAGTATTCTATGTGTTTGGTGGTGCTTGTAGAAACGGCAAGTTTTTGTAAAAGAGCGACTTCCCCAAAGTGTGGTCCTTTGCCGGGGCTGCTTTTAGAACCCCCCCCCCCCTCCCCCCGCCCCCACAAAGGGTTTAGGATTTGGGGCCACCTTTTAATTTGATTCTAGAAGAAATAAACATATTAGCTGTTCGGGGTCCTGGCTCAAAATAGCAGCTGGAAAACAATGGCCTTGATATTCTGTTCAGCGAGTGCCCACACACAGGCTTGCACAGCTTCCCTCGCTGAGAGCGTGCTTGAAAAAGGTTAAACGGTTCCAAATCTAAAGGCATTTTAGCAAATCGTTTGGACAGTCCCTTGCGACTGTCCATCGTGCAGAAGAATGCCGCCGGCGCGAAGACAAAGACTCAAGAAGCTCATGCTAAACCCTAAACCCTAACCCTAAACCCTAAACCCTAAACCCTAAACTTCCTAAACCCTAAACCTAAACCCTAAACCCTTCTCCCTAAACCCTACACACATCTCGAAGTAGCTGACTAACAGCTCGACTCTTCGCCCTTGTTTGCTTTCGGAAATCCCCATATGAACACCCTCGCTGCCCGTCTCCGGGAGCCACGCTGCAGCAGAAAGTGGCTAAGGGTAGCTACTTGGTCCCTTAGTATGGGCCCTTAAAAAAAAAAAAACCTTATATACCCCTTGAAAGTGGCTATGGGGAAAGGGTTTAGGGTTTAGGGGTTAGGGTTTATGGTGGAAGCCCTATGTGGCAGCGCCATTGCCCATCCTCTCGCGGGTAAAAAAGGGTATGCACAAGGACCGGCGGGTCCCAGCACTTTGCGGCTTATTGCGAATCAACAGCTCTGCCCTTTTTTGGTAAACCCTAAACCCTGAACCCCCGTTATAAGAGATGCTCTCACTGGTCTCGCATAGACGCTTCGGAGGGCTGACCGCGCGCGCAGGCCGCAAAGAATTGATGCAGCTGTAGCCGCTGCAAGGAAATCAATATAATCGTGGGACCTCTCTGGTGGCCGCCACCTTCAACGCACAGAACAAAAAACAGAACTCAACGTGAGAACTCCTCCCGCACCCGAAACCCTAAACCCTAAACCCTAAACCCTAAACCCTCAACCCTCAACCCTCAACCCTCAACCCTCAACCCTCAACCCTAACCTGCTTGGGTCAGATTGTCAGACTCTCAGGTCGCCATGCCTCCGCGCGATGCGACAGGAAAGCCTACAGTAACAGCACGAACAGTCTCACTTTCTAGCTCTGTCATGGTTGGGATCGTACTAACAATTTAAAGGTATATTCCTGATTTGGGTTTAAGTACCCGTAAAAAGGTGAAATGATACCCGACTATGACCAAGGTGTGCTTCTTCGGCAACGAAGGCACAAGACATCCATTCTTAAAACTTGTTCCTGGCGTTGGACTTCAAATCAGAACTTGCTTTCTACCTGAGTTTTGCTTAAAACCCTTTGTACATGGAGTCTGACAATGCTGTTGCTACGACCTCCGCCTCCTTCCCCCCCCCCCCCCCCCCCCCCCCCCCCACCCTGCGGTTCTTTCCCCTTTCAATGTCCAGATCATCCAAACTCCGGCCCTCCGTCCGCAAAACTACGCACCCGACACCCTAAACCCTCAACCCGAAGGCTTGAAAGCTAGGTCGCAGGATTCCCGAGGATTGCGTCTTACACAAGTGCAGCAAGACACTGCCTAGTCCCTGTGCACGACGCCTTTGGGGACCAAACAAAGCCATTGGGATCATATACCCTATGCTACTTTAGTAACGCCCAGAAGGAACCCTAAACCCTAAACCCTAAACCCTAAACCCTAAACCCTAAACCCTAAACCACATGGACCATAAACCCATTTGGGGGGTTATTTGGTCCCCAAGGGTTTCTGCTTTCTTCTGCGGCCTTTTTGCTCTGGGCTTCTTGCGTTGCTGGGAAAGCGCGCCGTCGTGAGACCAGAGGTTGACAAGTAACCCTGCACAACCCTCCAGCCTCCCGCATGACAGAATTCATCATAACAATATATGTATATATATATATGTATATATATATGTATATATATATATATATGTATATATGTATATATATATGTATATATGTATATATGTATATATGTATATGCGAACATGTAATGTGTAGATAGATTCATATATGTGTATATCATCTATCTAGAGCAAGCTTCTTATCTAGCTCAATCATCGCCTCACCCAAGAAAACACAAGGCCATATCGGGCCGTTGCTTCCCTCCAAGTAGGAAGCAGGGCAGCCCAGCTTCGCTGGTTGCTGAGCCACTGTACAGGTACCGGAGCCTAAACCCTAAACCCTAAACCCTGAACCCTGAACCCTGAACCCTAAACCCTAAACCCTAAACCCTAAACCCTAAACCCTAAACCCTAAACCGTACCCACAGGGAGCTAACACGCCTGGGGAGGGAGATCCCACCGAGGCGGCAGTGGGCGCTGTTGGGAACATTGAGACCTCGACGAGGCTTGAAAGACCCGAGCCTGGGAGCCTGAGATCGTGGTGAACCGGGAAGGGTGCGGGTTTAGGGTTTAGGGTTTAGGGTTTAGGGTTCAGGGTTCAGGGTTTAGGGTTTAGGGTTAAGGCCAACCTATTTCGCGCGAGGGAAACCATGCGTTGAGCCCAAGCAACATAGTTGCTGTTAGAGTACTTCGGTCCTGCAAGGCTCCTCAGGCGAGGCCATGCAGCTGCTACAGCCCCATGCCATAGCACATCCACACCATGCAGGCGCCAAGACTGCGAGCCAGGTACGAAGCAGCCGCTTGCGCCGACTCCTTGTCCTTGCTTTGAGCTTGGGATCCCTAAACCCTGAACCCTAAACCCTAAACCCCAAACCCTAAATTCTAAACCCTAAACCCGTGGCTCAAGCAGGACAAGCCCGAACTCCATGCAAGCCATGTGAATGGCGAAGAAACACTCAAGATCAGCCAAGTATCCTGGCGGCTTGGAGGAATGTACCTCGGCCAAGTCGCTAGGCCCGTAACTCCAAAGATATCTTTTGAGAGGCGGCCCATCCACGCAAAGCTTGGTGCAATGTACGTAAAAGGCACTTCCCGAGCTGGCGAAGAACCCCCTAAACCCTAAACCCTAAACCCTAAACCCTAAACCCTAAACCCTAAACCCTAAACCCTAAACCCTAAACCCTAAACCCTAAACCCTAAACCCTAAACCCTAAACCCACGACAGCTAGGCTCTAAGGTTCCATTTGGGGGCGGCTGCAGGTGAGGATACCGTTACCATCGTTGTAACAGCACGCCTAAACCACCAGTTTAGCGCTTCGGGTTTAGGGTTTAGGGTTTAGGGTTTAGGGCTTTGGAGGCTTCGGAGGGTTTCTGGGGGCGTCCTGGGCTAAGGTCGAGACAGCTGAGCCTACTCAGCGCCTAGGAGGCCTAACCCTAAACCCTAAACCCTAAACCCTAAACCCTAAACCCTAAACCCTAAACCCTAAACCCTAAACCCTAAACCCTAAACCCTGAACCCTGAACCCTGAACCCTGAACCCTGAACCCCAAACCCCAGTGCTTGGCAAGGCTCCAGGAAGGATGAAGAAGACTCCGCCGAGAGGAGGACACTGGGATGATGCACTCTGGCGAGCAATACTTCCTTGTCCGGTAGGGTTGAGGGGCGTGTAGGGTTTAGGGTTTAGGGTTTAGGGTTTAGGGTTTAGGGTTTAGGGTTTAGGGTTTAGGGTTTAGGGTTTAGGGTTTAGGGTTTAGGAACTTCTCAATTCAAGGCCGTCTCCATGTCAAGTTGCTGTCTTGGCGCCCTCAACTTGCGAACAACCCAGATTCCTGGCAGGATCCCTAAACCCTAAACCCTAAACCCTAAACCCTAAACCCTAAACCCTAAACCCTAAACCCTAAACCTCCACACAGTGCCTTATACTACTATTGGGTCACTTTTAGGAACCCATAAGGGGGATCTACTTTTTGGATCCTGCCAGGGGTCTGGGAAACAGTACTTCTTTGCGAGCACCTGAACTTACAGTAGCAACCCTTCGGACCCCACAGCCACAAGCACTTGATAAATCAGGCGCCACGCAGAACTAGCGAACCTTCTGTCCACCTAAATACTGGACAACCACGGCTGTCGAAGAGGTCTGGGCCTGATCCCTCTAGGATGACAGACGGGGGGATATGAGGTACCTAGCTCATGAAGTCTGCCGGACACCTTAAAACCCCAAACCCTGAACCCTACGGTGGCTCATCCATCGATCTGCTCCCTTAAATCCAAGACCAACCCGCCACACAAAAGGCCTGTTGAAGGAATGTTCAGGGTTTGAGGGTTTAGGGTTTGCAGGGTTTAGAGGGTTTAGAGGGTTTAGTGGGTTTAGAGAGTTTAGAGGGTTTAGGGAAACCGAAACGCTGCGGGACAGCGTTGCAGCAAGTCGCTCCATGTCTTCGGCAGACAGGGCGCTGAACAGGAACCTCGGTTGGGCCAAGTAAAACTCTTTTTGACATACGTGGGTTGGGATGTTCCCCCTTATACGAACAGTCCTTCATAGGGATTAGAAAAGGGGGTACTATACTCCCTTTTAAGTGCTTGTATAAGAGGGAACATCCCAAAACCCTAAACCCTAAACCCTAAACCCTGATGTTTATTCTATTTGGGGGTGCAAAAGAAGGGTACCCCCCATTCTTTGGAAATGCCCACGTACACCTAGGGTATATAAGGATCCTCGGGAAGTCCTGTAAAGGAACCTCTGAAGAGGGTTTAGGGTTTAGGCTTTAGGGTTTAGGGTTTAGGGACTATTCCTCAATCTTGTCCCCCCGTCAGTCGTGATCCTCTTGAAGTCCAGTAAGGAAAAATAGGGAACACTAGTCCGAGTTCCCAGTCGGAGACACAAACCCCAAAACACCTTTTTGAAGCCGGTACTTGCAAACCCTAAACTCTAAACCCTAAACCCGAAACCCTAAACCCTAAACATTCCACTTGTGGTGGCCGCCCAGGAACGTGTCCAGCTCTTCAAATGTGAGGTAGTTGTTCTCGTGCCGATCAATCCTGGCAAAGCCAAGAGAGAGTTCAACCAAGCCCTAAACCCTAAACCCTAAACCCCAAACCCTAAACCGTAAACCCTAGACCCTAAACCCTAAACCCTAAACCGAATTCTTAGGCTTGCTGACTTTCCGTGCAGGGATCTCCGGACAAAACCCTAAGTTTATAGGCTTTCGGGGTATCAGGAACCTGTTTTCCTTTTGCAACCGGATTGCCGACTTCATCCGAACCCTTCTTTTCAACCACCCTAAACCCTAAACCCTAAACCCTAAGGCCTCTGTAGATCGCCGGGCACTTGCCAAGCTCAAACCAAGACACTCGTGGCCCCAGACGACGAAGCTGTACAATCATCCGAACCCTAAACCCTAAACCCTAAACCCTAAACCCTAAACCCTAAACCCTAAACCCTAAACCCTAAACCCTAAACCCTAAACCCTAAGCCCTAAACCTAAACCCAAACCCTAAACCCTAAATCCAAGCCTGAAAACTTGTTCTTTTGCATCTGGTCCTTACAACCCCGTTTTACATCCAGGCCTCGTGACGAATGCCTTAAAAAGTAAACCCCAAACAGGTTTCGAGGCTCCTTGTCGGAGTTCGAGAACTAGAAAGTTGCCATCATGAGCTCCCCCTATAGTCACCTATAGTCACCACAAGCAATTAACCAGCATCTAAGCTACGCGGTGCGTTCAACATGTAGGGCTAAGGCAACCAGAAAACACGAGTAGCATGAGGAGCCCTTAAACAAACTTAAGGAACAGTTACAATCATGGCCACCTTTACAGGGATTATTGAGATTTTTGGGTGGTTCCTTACTTCAAAAAGTAGGATTAGCCGAAAGCCTTCAGCTATACTCCCCTTAGAACCTTAATAAAAGTAATGGTTTTAATATCCTCTTGGGTTTTATGTACACAAAAATAAAGAAAATAATTCCCAAGGGGGAAATGGTCAGAGGTGCATGGGACCTAGGCGGGAGGACGATTCCGGGGCCGGTCGGTGCGCGGGACCTAGGCGAGAGCGCAATTTGGGTTTAGGGTTTAGGGTTTAGGTTTTAGGGTTTAGGGTTTAGGGTTTAGGGTTCAAGGCACCTGGAAACACGGAGAAGGTCTTCTTTTCTGCGAGTTGAAATGTGCACCGCGCCTGGGCGAGAAAGCCCGGGCACCCAAAGCAACCACCCTAAAGCCTATAAACCCTATAAAACCTAAAAACCAACAAACCCTATAAACCCTAAAAACCCTGTTAACGCTCGAAACCCTCGAAAGACTCATCGATTTCAAGGACCCCCGCGTTCTTGCGCGTTCGGGCATGCCGGCGGGTCACCGCGATTCCCTTCTCTTGGCTCCCAAGTCAATGCAAGAACCCAAAAGTGCAAGCATCTTCTCAGGAATAAAACGCCTATGCCCCAACCCCCCCCCCCCCCCCGAGAATAGTAATAATAAAAATCATAGCAATCTGACCAGACACTTTGCAAAATGCTTAGGTGTTACATCTAAACAATACAAAAGCAAAACCGCGGCCTGGAGAAAGCCTGCTTCACTTCTTCCGCGCTCAAGGCTCCATGGAAGATGTTCGCCAGTTCGTCGTAGCTGACCTACCCAACTCGCAGACGCGTCTTCTACACTGAGAATCATAGTAGTAATACCGATAGTAGAAATACTAGCAGTAACAATAAATAATAATCATCATAACAATAATAGTAATTAATAGTACTAAAAACAACAATAATAGTAACAATAATGGCAATAAGAATAATAATTGTACTAATAATAGTAATATCAATAATTTAACGCTGCGCTCTGATCAGTGAGGCGCCCCACCCGACCCCAGCCCCCACCCCCCGAACAGCCGAAGCTGATTTTGACCCTCTCTAGACGGTCTGGAGACTCTAGAATGGGTTTAGGGTTTAGGGTTAGGGAGCCACTACCCCTGAGCAGAGAGGCCTGCGAGTTAACTTACAGGTGCGCCACACGAAAGCTCCCTGAACGAACGAAAGACTTGTCTTCATGGCAGATCCCGCGGGGCCCCTCAAAAAAAAGTCCTGTAAGTCTAGCTGGGCAGACTTGTCTTCAAAGAGAGGGCCAAGGCTAAACAGAGTGCAACATGAAGGGTTGAAAAAGAATGATAAGGGTAACTTCCCAAAGAGCCCACTACCCCTCAAGATAAGGATTCCATGCATTAAACCATACTAAGGACCCGTAGATCATCTAAGAGAATATTCTCTACTTTGAGGGTATCGAAGGGCTCTGATTCTTGTGTGAACAAACCGGAAGCGTTCCTCGGCAGGCCCTTGGGCTCTTTTGGGTTTAGGGTTTAGGGTTTAGGGTTTAGAGTTTAGGGTTTAGGGTTGCCTCATAGAGTCTGATATTTGCATTCGGTTTGCGGTTAGCGCTCTCAGAGTTTAAGGCAGGTTTCCTGCTGAACCTGTCCTTCTTGGAAGGAGCTGCTTCTTTCAGCGGATCTTACAAACCCCAAACCCCAAACCCTAAGCCCTAAGCCCTAAACCCTAAACCCTAAACCCTAAACCCTAAACCCTCAAGTGGGTTTGGTGGATGATGGGTCAAAGAACTGTCGGAGAGCAACGCTCCTTGCAAGTATTCACCCCCCGGAAATGGTCCTTGGCAAGAAAATGAGGAGCCGTTTAACACAGAATTTATGGGACCTTAATGGGGAATAGAGTGGCGTAGGGTATACTTAGTTGCTGACTTCATAGGCCCCCAAAAAGTGTACACTTTCAGTTCTGTAGGTGAGTATACTGTCCCAAAAAGTGTAAAGTGTGCTCACTCAGCTGCTAAGTATATGACCCCAATTTTAGGGTTCATTTGGTCCTGGCAAAAGGAAGGGTACTCTGAAGCCCAGGTCTGTATGAGGGCCTCCACTGGGACTCCTGGGTTTAGGGCATAAGGGTTGGCGATTTTCCCACCCGAAACCCTGAATCCTAAACCCTAAACCCTGAATCCTAAACCCTAAACCCTAAACCCTGAATCCTAAATCCTAAATCCTAAACCCTAAACCCCAAACCCCAAACCCGAAACCCTTAAGCTGGGTTCAGGGATCCGCCTGCTGGTCATTGTTCCTGTCCATTTGGTCAAAGAGCCGCTTCAGCGTTTGATGAAGCGCCTGCTTGTCCAAGGAGGACCAGTCGAACGTGACCTTGGGGCGCTTTCGGGTTAGGGTTTAGGGTTTAGGGTTCAGGGTTCAGGGTTCAGGGCTCAGGGCTCAGGGTTCAGGGCTTAGGGTTTAGGGTTTGAGCCCAGATCAAGGAAAGTGCTTTCCGAATGGGGTTCTGCCGAGCATCGGCCACAAACTCTGGAAAATTGAGGCTGCCATCGTTATCAACATCTGCGATGTTGAACAAGGTGTCCGCTATGGTGCCTCGGATCACGTAAACTGCGAAGCTTCGGCGGGTTAGGCGGAGGCGTCCTTTAGGGTTCAGGGTTTAGGGTTTATGGTCTGGGTTGTACCTGAGTGCCAAGTTCCTGCTTACTTGGAGGTTCCTGGCCGGTTATAGGGAGGGCGATATATGTTGCATCAGAAACCCGAAACCCTAAACCCTAAACCCTAAACCCTAAACCCTAAACCCTGCAGAAGGTTTTTGCCAGATCTAAGAAGGGCTACACAAACTCATAGCCCCAGTAGGGCTTGCAGGGATGTGTTCGACTTGGCCCAAACCCTGACCCTAAACCTTAAACCCTAAACCCTAATCCCTAAACCCTAAACCCTCCCTAACCTATAAAAAGGAGAGTATCAGGGAGGATATTTACCCATTCTCCTTAATCTCTTTCAAGGGTATGCCCAAGGGGTATGTTGAACATTTCTTAGACCAAACCCGAAAGCCTTTTTGCAACCAGAAACCCTAAACCCTAAACCCCCTAAACCCCTAAACCCCTAAACCCTAAACCCTAAACCCAAACACCCACAAGTGCTAACCTCACCGTCCTCAAGCCCAGGAACTCACGCTCGTGCGCCGGCCTCCCATGCGCGAGGCTTGTGAGCACGGACACCACTGGCCTCAGGCTGCATGGGCTTCTGGGGTTTAGGGTTTAGGGCTTTTAGGGTTTGGGGTTTAGGGTTTAGGGCTTTTGGGGTTTAGGGTTTTTTTTTTATCTAAATAATCATGGTCCCTAGGCCCTTTGCCGGATACCCAAACTGCACGTAAGGCGCAGTAGTCAATGGGACAACAGCCCACAGCTGCCATAGACTCCATGCTTTTGGGAAAGGAGATCTAATAGCGGGACACCGCCAAGGGCCCAGAACCCCCCCCTCCATATGTAGACTCACGCAGACCGAAGACTCTGTCAGAGATCTTCAGCGGGACTTTAGGCTGGCCCTAAACCCTAAACCCTAAACCCTAAACCCTAATCCCTAAACCCTAAACCCTAAACCCTAAACCCTAACCCCCTCCCCCCTGGCTTGTTCTACTACCTTGGGCGCCCCTGAATGGGGTCCACTTATATACCCCTTATATACCTACCCTACACAACTCAAGGGCCCCTTACCAGGAGCTAACTGACCCTACCTGAAGGACCATGCAACTACCCTTAGAAATTCAGGGATTCGGGGTCGAGGAGATAGGGTTTCGCTGCACTGGCGTCCACTAAGCAGTGCTGCAAACGAAAGATTGGGTCATAAAACTGCTGGAGCAGTAACTTCATGAGGCTGGGTCAACAACGAAAGCAGAACTACCCTCAGACACTGAGGCGGAGAACCCCATGGTCAACTCATTAGCAGCCAGGGTTTCGGGGTTTAGGGTGGAGGGCCGAAACTTACTCTTAGTTGCTGAGTTCATAAGCCCCAAGAAGTGTACACTGTCAGTTCTATAGGGATTATTGTATCCCAAAAAGTGTAAAGTGTGCTCACTCAGCTACTAAGTACTGTAGACTCTGGCTGTGGGGCCGCGACACAGCTCCACAATGACGGTTTCTGCCATGCGGCTCATGTCGAGCTGGGCGCAAGCAGCACGGAATTCTTCGACAGAGATGCTTCCATTGTGGTCCTGGGCTTGCAGGCTTTCTGGGCCGTAGGCTTTATAAGGATTATGGGCTTAAACCCTAAATCCTAAACCCTAAACCCTAAACCCTAAACCCTAACCCTAAACCCTAAACCCTAAACCCCCAAACATGCTTCTGCATGTGATCCTGAAATCCATCCGTCGCTCATCTCCTGCAACTGACACACCAGGAAGCATTGAACCCCGAACGACTCAGTCACAGTGTACACCGTACGTTTCATGAACCCTGAGCCCTGAACCCTGAACCCTTTTTTGGGCAACGGACTTTGGAGGCTGCCGGCAACCCTGAACCCTAAACCCTAAACCCCAAACCCGCTTCTGTACACACATTTCCTAAACTCTTACAGTGTCGAACTCTGCTGGACTGGACAAGAGAGATGCCCAGCCTGACGGACCGGATCATGTTACAACCGTTCTTGGGTTCAGAGTTCAAGAACAGGGGGAGCTACCTTGAAAATAACCCACACCACCCCAAATAGACCAGCAAATGTCCCCAAATGTGTTATGTTATATATTACATTCATACATGTACACCTACTCTGAAGGTGGTTTTGGGAAGGGACTGCTTCTCCATAACCTGCCTCAACACGACAACTGCTAGCCATCCCTTGTCATCGTGGGTATGTTGCTTCCTTGTGCTTCGGAAAGTTTTTCGACTGCCACTTTAACCTCACCTGCTATGCCATGACTGGGTTTTCAAGTTTTTGTCCTCGACCTGAAGGGAAAAAGGCAAGACAAAACATCTGAAAGCGCCGGAGGCAGCGAGTTCTTAGCTGAGGATTCGAGTGTGGAAACCCAAAACCCTAAACCCTAAACCCTAACCCTAAACCATGCAACCAAAGCCTGGCCAAAGGCCCAGTGGCAGAATCCACGTTCTGGAAGACCTGCACAGGGGCTTGCTTGCGCAGCGGCTAGTACAGTTTTGGGGCTGTTTAGGGTTTAGGGGTTTAGGGGTTTAGGGGCTTAGGGGTTTAGGGTTTAGGGATCAGATACCAGGGGACCCATCAACGCCTTCCAGCTTTCCGCGTAGTGGTCGCGCTGCAGCTTTGTCGCCAGCGCGTTGAGCAGGATCATGTGCGCCATGCCCTCCAGGCAGAGGTTTGAGGATTCTCCATCAACTGTAGGGTTCAGGGTCAAGCGACTTTTTACAATAAGGGTACCTTTTGGGGAATTTGGTTGCTTGAACCAAGAAAAGGGCAAAAGGGGTAACACTGGGCTGGCAATAAGCTTCTGCATCAACCCGATGTGCACAGTTCCAAGGGACCGCACATGAAAATTGGCTTGCTCGGGGGGGTTCTGGCTTAGGCAAGACGCAAGCTGCACAGTAGGTACGGCAACCCGCAAGTAAGGCTACAGCAACTGCCCCAGCACACACCTTGCCCAAAAAGGAACGATTCCGTCACACACCTTTGTTGAGACTCTGTGCCAAGGTCAGCAGCCATACGCCCATTTGAATCTCGGGCAGTTCTCAAAATCACGGTTCCTTTTTAGGTCCTTGCTATACGGGTGCCATGCTAATTATGGACCCTAATTGAGAGACCCTTCTTGCAACGGGCTAAACCACAAACCCTTCACCCTAAACCCTAAATCCTTTACCGCCCCCCCCCCCCCCCCACCTCAAAACCCTAAACCCTAAACCCTAAACTCTAAACCCAAAAAAACAGGGCCCCTGAAGGCCACCAAGGGTGCATCTCTGCAAAACTCCAGGTCCCAGGTCTTCAGCTTCGGGAAGCTGCGCAAGGTGGCCCAGTCCCGGCTCAACTCATCTCAACGCTTGTGTTAGGGTTTAGGGTTCAGCATCTCAAGTCCGAGCATTCACTAGTCAAGCACCCAAGAAACCCATAACATTGAGAAAATACAAAGTTCACTCAATACATTCCCAGTAGGCTTAGAGCTCAAGGTCCAGTTGTTTCGGATTCGGCTCCTTCTGGACCCATCTCTAAGCTTTTTTCGGACCCTACGGTTTAGAAGCCCCTGTTGGTGAAGGCTCGGTTTTGGTCAAAAATCCAGAAAATGAGAGCCCACCCAGAACCGTCGATTTCAGCACAAAAATATCGCATGTTTAACTGGGACCCGGGCCGATCCTGGGTCCCCCTCATTTGGGGTGTTTTTGGAGGCAAACTTTCCCTCTCAAGGGGGGGTCGGAGTTTGAGGCAAGGGGGGGTCTCCGAAGACTATTTTGCCTTTAAAATTGAAATCACGACCCCCCCTTGACCAAAACTAGGCTGTGAAAAGGTCGCGGAATCGGCCCTTCATCAGAATTGAGGGTTACAAGCCTTGAAACATCCTGAAAAACATTGAAAAACCTTAAAAAACATTGAAAAATTCTGAAAAACCTTGAAGAACCTTGAAAAACTTGAAATCCTGAAACCGGTGAAAGCTCGGTTTTGATCAAAAATCCAGAAAACGAGAGCCCACCCAGAACCGTCGATTTCAGCACTTTAGCTGGGCCCGGGCCGATCCTGGGCTCCCCCTCGTTTGGGGTGTTTTTTGGAGGCAAACTTTCCCTCTCAAGGGGGGGTCGGAGTTTGAGGCAAGGGGGGGTCTCCGAAGACTATTTTGCCTTTAACATTGAAAAATACGACCCCCCTTGACCAAAACTAGGCTGTGAAAAAGGTCGCGGGGGCGGTCCTTCATCAGAACTTAGGGAAAAAATCTTGAAACACCCTGGAAAAAACATTGAAAAATTGTGAAAAAAACACCCCTACAGCCCAAAACCCTATGCCCCAAACCCTACAGCCCTAAACCCTATGCACCAAACCCTACAGCCCTAAACCCTATACCCCAAACCCTACAGCCCTATGCCCCAAACCCTACAGCCCTAAACCCTATGCCCCAAACCCTACAGCCCTAAACCCTATGCCCCAAACCCTACAGCCCTAAACCCTATGCCCCAAACGTTAAAAACCCTGAAACATCCTGAAAAACATTGAAAAACCTTGAAAAACACTGAAAAACTCTGAAAAACCTTGAAAAACCTTGAAAATGGGTCCGGCCCAGGATAAAACAATATGCCGACGAAGGGGGTCAGGGTTTAGGGCCCAGAAAAAAAACAATATGCCGACGAAGGTCATTAGGGTTTAAATATACATAGTAAGAGAGGGTTTAGGGTTTAGGGTTTCGGGTGTAGGGTTTAGGGTTTAGGAAACCCAACCCCTGACCCTAAACCCCCAAACCCAGATTCTTGCCCTCATAATCAGCTGGACGAGGTCTTTTTCAAGTGTCCCCTGAAACCCTAAACCCCAAACCGCACCCTATAACCCCTAAACTCTGTCCGCCCAGAGCACCACTGGCCTTGCTCTTCTTGAATTCCAGCCTCTGACTGAGGGATTAGGGGATTGAGGGATTTGGGTTTAAAGTTTAAGGTTTGGGGAACCCTTTTGCTGCAGGCTTGCGTGAATCCTCGCCTGGATGTGTCGCGTTTGTTCTCCGAACAAAGCCAGACACAGAAAGAACCTACTGATTGACAAGTGTTCTCGAGCTGACCGTGCCGCCATGTTTGCGAATCTCTTCACGAAGTATCACGCACAAACGAATGAGCCATGAGCGTCGTTCACCGCGAGGGGCCTCCCTGTGCTCTCGTTGGAGATCGGACAAAATGGCTTGCAACCCCTTTACCACCTCCGCATCACTCTTCGCCTGTGCAACAAAATGTCGCACGAAGCCTTCTGGATCATCCCGCAAGGAAGGAAAGGTGTTCGGTTCGCAAGAATCGCCAGATCTGAGGTCATGGTTGTCTCGTTTGTGTTGGTTGGGCTCCCCTGTGTCCATAGCATCAGTATCCTGAACTATAGCAGTCTCGCGCAAGTGCTTCAGCATGGCAGGCTTTCGTATATTGGGATCACCTGCTGTAGGGTCACGCCTCTCCCCTTGAGCTTGTTCGGGTTCCCCATCATGTGGGAAAAGAAGCTCAGCAAGATTGAGTGTTGTGGCAAGAGGAGCATCTGGAGTGCCAGAAGTGCGGAGTGGCTCATAGCTGAAGTCCTGCAACTGTTCCCGCAACTGTTGTCGGCAGTCATCCCTGGCCTGACGGAGCATGTTCATGGCCGCCTTGAGGTGGTTCTCCACATCAGATGGTACTTTGAGGATCGCTGCCTTTCGTATGGCATAACCAATGCATGAACATAGCTTACTGTGGCCCGTGTCTGACACCATGGCAAACACTGGAGTGCGAAGCACTAAAGAACTACTGAATCTGAATTGTTGCAATCACCCGCTTTGGGTCTCGTAGCCTTGAGCCAAAATGGCTACGGGAACCCTAAACCCTAAACCCTAAACCCTAAACCCTAAACCCTAAACCCTAGACCCTAGACCCTAGACCCTAGACCCTAGACCCTAGACCCTAGACCCCAGACCCTTTTCTTGGTCAGGTTCGGCATTCGGGCTTCGGCAAGGGAATTGCGGGGCGAAGGGCTTTGTTGCGGCGCCTCACCGGTTTCGGCGAATCGTTGGGCGATTTTTAGAGAGATAGATATCTATACAAATACATATATATATATAATATTTATATATATATGTACATATATATACATATCTATATAGATATTTGTATATATTTGTATGGTTATATGTATATGTGTCTTGATGATGTGGGTCTCAGAAGGAACTTCAGCACAAGAGCATGCAGGGCATTTCCAAGGAACCGGATGCATAGGATTAGGGGCATGCAGAATATGCTCAAGGGGGTTAGTGGGTTTAGGGTTTAGGCTTAGGATTCTTGTTGTTGTTGCCACCTGCCTCACTGACCTCTCGGACACACTGCGGGGCACTTTCTGAGCTTCTGGCGGGAAAACTAAATCGAGACGTGTGCCCCTGAACACAGCAGAAAAGCTCTTTTCGCTCACAGGTCATCCTCACCAACGACTAAACACCACAAGACTCAAGCTAGATAGCCCGACAGACAACTCAGAGTCCCAGATGTTGATCACCTGTGTGTACTATGATTCAGCCAGTCACGACCTCACAAGCGCAAGGTCTCATCACACAAACGCAACCAGTGGCCAACCAACATTGAATGACATGAGCCGCTGAAGGCACAAAGAACAGCTACTCCTAGACTCATCAGCGTCTCCGGTGCGCCATGCAGGTCGGCCCAGGGTTTAGGGCTAAGGCGTTGTAAAGCTTAGGATCCCACAAGCCCTTTGCATCTGGACTGCAAGGGCGAATCAGCTGGATAACTTTCAGCTCTGCCGAGGCCCTAAACTACTATCTGCTTAAGAACCCCCCCGCCCCCCCCCAAAAAAAAATAGTAACCACTATATTACCCTTATAAGGAGGAATGTCTTGTGCTTTGTTTTTTTTTTGGGGGGGGGGGGGGGGTTCTTAAGCAATTGGTGGTAAACGCCCTAGGCCTGGACCCTAAATCCCACTGGGTCCAAGTGGCATTGACAGAGCTTGCTTGCTGATCCCGCGGCTGTAGCTCGGAGTCGTCACAAACCACTGGTCCTGAGGTTGCACTCACTATGTTGGTATACACTATAATGCTATAATGCGAAAATACTGTAATACGATAATACGATAGTACTATAAAACTATAATGCGATAATGCCCTGATACTAGTATACTATTAGTATTCGATTATACTGTTAAAAACTATTGTGTTTTAAAACTTTCGGTTGCGCTTTGTTCACTATTGTACTGATTCCGGTTCCTCATGTTACTACAACATTAGAAACTAGACTGTAGCACATTATATTATTCTATGAGTAAACTATTTGACTAGTTTTGACAAGTTGCTCTGTACCTGTATTCATTCTAGTGTGTCTTCTGCCGAACCCTCCGGCGGCTAAACCCTAAACCCTAAACCCTAAACCCTAAACTGCACGAACTACCTTTCCACCAACTATAAGGCCTAAACCCTACAGTCGGTGGGCCTGAACAACCCAACTCGCCGAACCGTCAAATAGGTGGCAAAGGGTTTGGGATTTAGGGTTTAGGGATAGGGCTTAGGGTTTAGGGTTTAGGGTTTAGGGTTTAGGGTTTAGGGTTTAGGGTTTAGGGTTTAGGGTTTAGGGTTTAGGGTTCGGAGCCCGCGCCACCTTGAGCATCTGGGAGGCTGTCGGCCTGCAGCTCGGCTCCTCCACGCAACCCCTAAACCCTAAACCCTAAACCCTAAACCCTAAACCCTAAACCCTAAACCCTAAACCCTAAACCCTAAACCCTAAACCCTAAACCCTAAACCCTAAACCCTAAACCCTAAACCCTAAACCCTAACCCTAAACCCGTTGAGGGTATGATTCCTTTGAAGGTGCAATAGGGATCCTGATGGGAGTGTAACCCTAATACCCAAACCCTAAACCCTAAACCCTCCCTAAACACCATTAGGAGTATCAACCCATTGCATGTCGACAGGAGTGGGACCTCTTGAGCAGGGATTTAGGGGGTTTAGAGAGGTTTTAGGGGGTTTTGGGGGGGGGGGGGGGGTGTCTTTCCGAATTGGGGGTACCTTCTTCCGGTTCTCATAAGTGAATCCTACCATGTGCGGGTTATTCAGGGTCCCATGCTTTGGTAAACCCCGGTTTGGCTTTCTCTTGCGGGGGCGCCTGTTCAACAGCTGGCAATACTTCTGTACACTGCACGACTGCGGCTTGTTCAACAGCTGCAGATCCTGTGATTGACAATATTTCGTGCTTTTACAGATCCATACTTGTACGTGCTGCGTATATCCACATGTTCGACAGACAAAATGGCAACATTTTATTCAACAGCTGCAAATGCTGTAAAACCCTCAGTATTTGCAAGTGTTCCGATACAGAAAATTGCTTTTTGACTTGTTCTCTAGACATCTCGACAGCTGAATAGCACAGTACTTTACAGGCAGGCCAAAGAATCAGAGCACCACGGGACCAACGGAGAAGAGGACCAGGGCAGCAGAAACAGAAAGATTGAACCTAAACCCGAAACCCTCCCATCGAGGATTGAGTCTCGAAGTCGACAGGAGTACAGAGACAACCAGGCTGACACACGACAGAGTGCACTTAGAGTTCAGGGTTTAGGGTTCAGGGCAATCAACCAGGACCCACCCATGACAGCAGTAACACTTAAAAATCAAGGGCAAGCCACCAAGTATTCTGGTAAGGAGAAGCGCGCTGAACCCCAAACCCTAAGCCAATAAGCCCTAAACCGTAAACCCATAAACCCTGAACCCTAGTATTGGACTGTTTGCCGCTCGCAGTCTCGACGTTCTGTCCCCCGCGCATACCGCGGTTTTACGTGACAACCTAGGCTGTCTGAGCTACCCAGGCTCCTTGTTCAGCATGTTCATCAGGAGCTCCCTGGCAAATTCCGAGATGCCTTGCAAGATCTGAGTCAGAAGTCTGAGTTTCATGGCTTACGCTCCTTATGTGCATTGAGATCCCTAACATGAGCCGAATGCCTCGCGTCGATGGACATCTACAGGGTGGGGCCCCCTTACTATACTAACTGTAGTTAAGGGACTTATAACCTAACTTAGGGTCCTTATAACCCAATTTAGGGCCCTTATAACTCTACTTATAACTAGGGGGCCCCACCCTGTAAGAGTGGAGTGAGAGCTGAAACTGCCAAGACCAGTGGAGTGAGTTTAAGTAGGGTCTATGGTCCAAACATGTGGAGAACCCCAAAACCCTAAACCCTAAGCCCTAAACCCTAAATCCTAAACCCAAAACGAGCAGTGCCATTGCCTTCCAAATGCGGCTGCACCTGTAGCTCCTCGCAGCAGAAGATGCTCCGAAGCTCAGCGAAGATGCAAGGACTTCAAGACACTGTAGGTTCCCTGAAACCCTAAGACCTAACCCTCTTGCAGCTGGGACTTGGTGACTGCCAGAAAACCCTATACCCTAAACCCTGTTCAGTGGAAGCATGCTGTGCCTTGCGCTTCATTCGGCAGGGCTGCACTTCTGCATGCCCTCTTGATGCCACACTCGTGGTCTGTCCTCCTCAAGCACACCCTTCTTGAGCTTCTCCCACTGGTCGGGGTAGTTGGTCACGTCTTCTAGCCGAACTGCTTCGTAGAGAAAGGGTATGATGCCTGTGCAAACATAAGCCGCGGGCAAGCCACCCTGTTTCGAGGATGTGAGTATGCATCTCTGGCCTAAACCCTAAACCCTAAACCCTAAAAAAACGCAAGAAAGAGCCGGCCTCCACTGAGAAGCTCAAAGAGTGTGACCTAGGCGTCTTCTGCTGTCCAGGTACAAGGGGGGGCTAGGGTTTAGGGTTTAGGGTTTCGGGTTTGGGGTCTAGGGGTGTTGAAAAGCCTATGGGTGTTGAACAATGAGTCCCAGCAACGGGTACACTTTATTTGGTTTCATTCACCCTGAGTGCGAACACCCCCCGCAAGAAAGCCCAAAGCTGTGAGAAGCAAGTGTGCTGCGAGGGTTTCGGGCTTAGGGTTTAGGGTTCGTGGGAGGAACCCTAGAGTACTCTTCTTTCCCCTTTTGTGGGGGGGGGGGGGGGGGGGGGGGGGGGGGGCCGGGTCCCTGCGAACCGAGGGTTTAGGGTTTTGGGTTTAGGGTTTAGGGTTTAGGGTGGAAAGCCGCCTCGGAGTTGAGTCAAGTTCAACTGTTGGCTTGGTAAGTGAACCCCAAACCCAACCCAGAACCCCAAGAGAAACCTAGGAATGAAAAGCGCGCCCTTTTTGGCTTTAAGGGGCTTTGTAAGGGAACCTAAACCCTTCAAGAAAGGAAATAAGGGCCTACTCTCGAGGTCCTCGGAACCCTGAACCTTCCACCGACCGGGCCACTCCCAGTGACCATATGTCTGCCGGATAGCCGATCTCACCTTTCTCAACGTCAGCGTGTGCTTCAGTTAGTAGCCCAACCCTAGGGTTCAGGGTTTGGGGTTTAGGGTTTAGGGTTAGAGTTTAGGGTTTAGGGCAAGTCCACCCTTTTTGCGGGCCTAGAGGGTCTATACAGGGCTTCTTGCATAAAGGGCTCATTGTATAGGGTCCGTAATCTGTAGAGTTTGGCGGTTCGTAGGTTCCTCAGCCACCCAAGAGCAGAAATGGCCGCCCTGTTTGCTTGATGGGACTGACTACTGGGCATTGCCGCAGCGAGATTCAGGCCTCGCGCGTGTGAGCCCAAAGCCCCCGAGCCCTGACTACGAACGATGCCTTGCTTCCTCAGCTGTCAGGAGCCTCTGTTGCGGCTGAGAATTTAGGGCCAAAGGTGACTACAGCATCGAACTCCCCTAAACTGGCTGCTTCTTCCCTACTACCCTATGTAATCCCTTAAAGGGTATATATAAGGCTCTAATTCCCTCATTCCCTACTAAGAACCAGGGGGCAAACCCTCAACTTCGGATGTTCCCCTTGAAAATAGCCACCGTTGACACCCGCAGGCCGTAACTGTAATACATAGCACCTTGTGCAAGCCCTTTCATAAGAGGCAGCTCTGCAAGGGCCGAAAATCCTTAACGCCCAAAAGCCCGCTGTTCTTGGCAGGACTCAAACCTTGGGGGGGGGGGGGGGGGGGGCGGGGGGGTATAGGGCTTTGGGTTTAGAAATGCCCGATCCGGCTTATGGAAATACAAAACCCGAAGCTATAAAGGTTTAGCGTTTGGGGTCCAAGGAAGGGTTTAGGGTTTAGGGTTTAGGGTTTAGGGTTTCGGGTTTAGGAGTTTCGGGTTTAGGGTAAATGGCCAAGGAGCCAGCAAGGCCTAAGGTCGTTTTGCCCCTCAGCGACGCCAAGAGGGCCTTCAAGGGAGGGTCCCTGGCTTGGCGCTTTAGAGGTCGGCTCATGCACTTCCAACCGTTAGTTGTCCAGTAACCTAGGGTTTAGGGTTTAGGGTTTAGGGTTTAGGGTTTAGGGTTTAGGGTAGGGGAACAAAAGGTTAACCTTTGGGAAATTATAGGGACCATACTACCCCAAAAAGGTTAAAGGTTATCTACTCTACTACTAAGCTAAACCCTATAAACCCTAAACCCTTTTTGAAGCTGGACTTGCTGACTGCCAGACGCCCTGAACCCTCAACCTTAAACCCTAAACCCCTAAACACTTCTTAGCACAGGGCTGTTTAAGAGCTCAAACGACCAAACCTCGTGACCAAGCTGAAAAATCAGTAGATCTCGTGCCCGGGCCTTGAACGTCTCGGGCGACTGATATCTCGGATCGCCAGAGCAGAAATCTCTTTCACCCTTGACCTGCAGCCGGCGGTGGCAAACGGGCGTTGCAGCTGCACCAGAAGCATTCGACTTAGAGTGGAGGGGGTGGAACCAGCAGAAGCTGGAATCTAATCCTGGTATATTTGTTACTTCCCCCATTCTTTCTGGAGGGCGTGTTGTAACCACGTCGAGGGGGTGTAATTGTAACCACGCCAAGGTTTTTTGCTACCACGGCCCGCCTGCACTAGGTTCGCTTGAAGAGGGGCAGGTAGACAGACAAGCTTCCCTGGCAGTTCCCTAGTCTGTTTACGGCCTGGCCTACCTGGGAGGCAAGTAGTAGGCCTTGGATAAGAACTGACTCTTGTCATGTTAACCTATAATGTGCTTGTCCCTGTAACACATGGTCTGTGTCACTGTAACCCAAAACCTGTCACGGTTACATGTGCCCCTATTCTGCAACGGGAGGCTGGCGGGGTGGGGGGGTGGGGGGTGGGGGGTGAGGGGGGGTGGGGGCGAAAAGGGGCGAAAGAGGCAATGATGGCTAAACACATCATGAGGTTTGTAGGACGTTCCTGCTGATGGGCCACAACATGAGTCATCATCGTCATCCTCTTCATCTGCCTCCAACTTTGTGGTTCCTGCCCCTACGACGCGCAAGTGCAAGGAGACCAAGGAATGCAAAGCATGATGTTATGGAATACCCAGTTCACGTGCGATCAACCACGAATTTGCGATCAGCATGTCTGCTCAAATAACCTTCGCTTCTATTACAAGGCACAGGCACTGATACCCCTAAAGCCCCGCACCCTCAACCCCATACTCGACAGCGCCAGACAGACCCGAGATAAGGCCCATCCGAAATAACCCTAAACCCTAAACCCTAAGCCCTAAGCCCTAAGCCCTAAGCCCTAAGCCCTCAGCCCTCAGCCCTAAGCCCTAAGCCCTAAGGCCGAGCCTTGGCGCATCCGAAATCCGTGATCGTGATCCAGGGGACTTGACCAGGCTGCTGTGGATCGAACCTTTGGACAAAGGCTTCAAGCTATAACTAGGTTGCCCAGTAACCTAGGATTAAAGGGGTTTGTAGGGGAACCTAAACCCCCCAAAAAGGGAAGAAGGGTACTACTGGGCATCCTAGATAAGGGCAAGGCCACAGAGCCCCCAGGGTCTTAGGTCTTAGGTCTGCGGAGGTCGGTGTCCTAAGCCGCCCAGTAAACCCAACGAACCCCACCCCTTTTCCTCCGCTGCCGACGATGCTTTGCCCAATTCTCCCAGGCCCAAGCCTCCCCCTCTCTGCAAGCCACAGGCACGCTTGCATGCACAGGAGGTTCTCGGGCTTGAGGTCGTTGTGAACGATCCCTTCGCCTTGTGGCAACCCTCCAACCCCTGTGAACAAGATTTTGAACAAGGGGCGAAAGGAGGGATCCTTATCGGGGGACCTTAGGGGTAACGTAGGGGGGTACTAAGTACATAGGGACTATATAAGGTATACGTATGTGTGTATATATAGGGACTCTACAAGGTATATGTATATATATATATATATCTATAGAAAATATACGGTTCTATAGGGGAGTAAGATTAAGGTCCCTTTTAGCTTATATCCCTTATCTATGGCGCATGGGAACTTGGGAGCCACGGGAAGCCACTCTCGCAAGCCAAGGCCGGGAGGGAAGGAGAAAGGAAGACAGAAAGAGAGTGAGGCAAAGCATACGTCTGCTTGGTAGCCCAGTCACCATTTGTTAGAATACGGGCACTCTTTTTGGGGTTGGTTACTTTCTAAGGGAACCTTGAACCAAAAAAAGGGAAAAAGGGTACCACAGGGCTGCCAAGTCTGAGTGCAACAGCTTTGCGACACCTCCTGCATCAAGCTTCAAGCCAAACCTGCAGGCCATAAAGCCCGAACCCTCACCTAATACAGGGGCGGGAAGCAGTACTAATAGTCTTTCCTTATGCCCCCTATAATACATGTACAGCAACCTCCCTAAACCCTATTCTAGTTTTTTAGGCCCCCATATTAGGCTGTTGGCTGTACTTGGAGGTTCATGGGTAGTTATAAATGGGGTTAGAAGTATGGTAATTATACTTCTAACCCCACTTGGGGTACTTATAACCCTACTTATAACTGACCATGAACCTCCAAGTATCCCTAAACCCTAAACCCTGTCTTGACGGACTTTGCCAAGGGCCCCCGCTGTGAAGATAGGAGACTCCCAGCACCACGTGGCGGAACACCTCCCACGAACACGTGTCCAAGCGCAATGTGTGTCACAGCCACCGTGTTGAGGCCCTAAACCCTAAACCCTGAACCCTAACCCTAAACCCTAAACCCTAAACCCTAAACCCTGAACCCTGAACCCTGAACCCTGAACCCTGAACCCTAAACCCTAAACCCTAAACCCTATGAGCCCTAAACCCTATGAGCCCTAAACCCTGCACCCTCCAAACTCGAAGCCTAACTTCCACCTGATGGAAACATGCAGGGCGTCTTTTTCTTAGCTGTCCAACAACCTAGGGTTTAGGGTTTAGGGTTTAGGGTTTAGGGCAGGGGAACTAAAGGTTAACCTTTGGGAACTTGTAGGGATTATAGATACTACCAGTTGATTAGTTGTCCAGTAACCTAGGGGAACTAAAGGGTTAACCTTTGGGAATTTATAAGGATTATACTACCCCACAAAGGTTGAAGGTTACTCCACTACGAAGTTTTAAGCCCGCCACCAGAACACTAGCCATGGCCTCAAGCGCACCTTCACCGGCTCTCAAGAGACTCGTACTCCCTAAACCCTAAACCCCCACACATCTGCATCAGTTGGCCCTTTGCTGGGCCTGGGCGGCCCGACAAGGCGAGCATCATCAGCATCAGCTGGCCCCTTGCTGGGCCTGGGCGGCCCGACAAGGCGAGCATCATCAGCACCAGCTGGCCCTTTGCTGGGCCTGGGCGGCCCGACAAGGCGAGCATCATCAGCATCAGCTGGCCCTTTGCTGGGCCTGGGCGGCCCGACGAGGCATCATCAGCATCAGCTGGCCCTTTGCTGGGCCTGGGCGGCCCGACAAGGCGAGCATCATCAGCATCAGCTGGCCCTTTGCTGGGCCTGGGCGGCCCGACAAGGCGAGCATCATCAGCATCAGCTGGCCCTTTGCTGGGCCTGGGCGGCCCGACAAGGCGAGCATCATCAGCATCAGCTGGCCCTTTGCTGGGCCTGGGCGGCCCAACAAGGCGAGCATCATCAGCATCAGCTGGCCCTTTGCATCATCAGCATCAGCTGGCCCTTTGCTGGGCCTGGGCGGCCCGGACAAGGCGAGCATCATCAGCATCAGCTGGCCCCTTGCTGGGCCTGGGCGGCCCGACAAGGCGAGCATCATCAGCATCAGCTGGCCCTTTGCTGGGCCTGGGCGGCGCGACAAGGCGAGCATCATCAGCATCAGCTGGCCCCTTGCTGGCGACAAGGCGAGCATCATCAGCATCAGCTGGCCCTTTGCTGGTCCTGGGCGGCCCGACAAGGCGAGCATCATCAGCATCAGCTGGCCCTTTGCTGGGCCTGGGCGGCCCGACAAGGCGAGCATCATCAGCATCAGCTGGCCCCTTGCTGGGCCTGGGCGGCCCGACAAGGCGAGCATCATCAGCATCAGCTGGCCCTTTGCTGGGCCTGGGCGGCCCGACAAGGCGAGCATCATCAGCATCAGCTGGCCCCTTGCTGGGCCTTGGCGGCCCGACAAGGCGAGCATCATCAGCATCAGCTGGCCCTTTGCTGGGCCTGGGCGGCCCGACAAGGCGAGCATCATCAGCATCAGCTGGCCCTTTGCTGGGCCTGGGCGGCCCGACAACATCAGCATCAGCTGGCCCTTTGCTGGGCCTGGGCGGCCCGACAAGGCGAGCATCATCAGCATCAGCTGGCCCCTTGCTGGGCCTGAGTGGCCCGACAAGGCGAGCATCATCAGCATCAGCTGGCCCTTTGCTGGGCCTGGGCGGCCCGACAAGGCGAGCATCATCAGGGCGGCCCGACAAGGCGAGCATCATCAGCATCAGCTGGCCCTTTGCTGGGCCTGGGCAGCCCAACAAGGCGAGCATCATCAGCATCAGCTGGCCCTTTGCTGGGCCTTGGCGGCCCGACAAGGCGAGCATCATCAGCATCAGTTGGCCCCTTGCTGCGCCTGAGCGGCCCGACATGGCGAGCATCATCAGCATCAGCTGGCCCTTTGCTGGGCCTGGGCGGCCCAACAAGGCGAGCATCATCAGCATCAGCTGGCCCTTTGCTGGGCCTGGGCGGCCCGACAAGGCGAGCATCATCAGCATCAGCTGGCCCGTTGCTGGGCCTGAGCGGCCCGACAAGGCGAGCATCATCAGCATCAGCTGGCCGTTTGCTGGGCCTGAGCGGCCCGACAAGGCGAGCATCATTAGCATCAGCTGGCCCGTTGCTGGGCCTGAGCGGCCCGACAAGGCGAGCATCATCAGCATCAGCTGGCCCTTTGCTGGGCCTGGGCGGCCCGACAAGGCGAGCATCATCAGCATCAGCCCGACAAGGCGAGCATCATCAGCATCAGCTGGCCCTTTGCTGTTCCTGGGCGGCCCGACAAGGCGAGCATCATCAGCATCAGCTGGCCCTTTGCTGGGCCTGGGCGGCCCGACAAGGCGAGCATCATCAGCATCAGCTGGCCCTTTGCTGGGCCCGAGCGGCCCGACAAGGCGATCATCAGCATCAGCTGGCCCCTTGCTGGGCCTGAGCGGCCCGGCAATGCGAGCATCATCAGCATCAGCTGGCCCTTTGCTGGCCCTGAGCGGCCCGACAAGCAGCGGCCCGACAAGGCGAGCATCAGCATCAGCTTGGCCCCTTGCTGGGCCCTAAATGGGGTTATAGGTATAACTACCATACTTAGAACTTATAACCCTACTTATAGCTATGAACCTCCAAGTATCCCTAAACCCTAAACCCTAAACCCTAAACCCTAAACCCCAAATACCCTAAACGCGCAGCTTCTGGCAAGCCCGCGCCTGCGCGACCCAGGCTTCAGTGATGGAGTTGGCCTGGTCAGACCGAATCCTTGGCGTCTTCTTGCTCATAGTTTGGGGTGGTCTAGGGTTTGGGTTTAGGGTTTAGGGTTTAGGGTTTAGGGTTTAGGGTTTAGGGTTTAGGGTTTAGGGTTTAGGGTTTAGGGTTTAGGGTTTAGGGTTTAGGGTTTAGGGTTAGGTTTAGGGTTTAGGGTTTAGGGTTTAGGGTTTAGGGTTTAGGGTTTAGGGTTTAGGGTTTAGGGTTTGGGGTTTAGGGTTTAGGGTTTAGGGTTTCGGGTGGTTCTTACAGTAGGGAGCTCGGGACGTAGGGCGGAATTCGCAAAAACGAAACACGGAAGTCGGGCAAGGTTCCGCAGGCTGAGGCATGTTGGGGGCACGCGGTTTTAACCTTTAGACTCTTCCCTAAACCTTGAGCCCTAAGCCCTAAACCCTAAATCCTAAACCCTTGTGGGGGGGATCCCTAGGAGTTCGAGGTCTACGTTCTTGTCATAAACTTGATTTTGCGACCATGGTCGGGATATTTGTTTTAGGGTTTAGGGCTGTATTATATAGCTCCCCGCTATGCTAACTTAACTTTTCTAAGTTCCTCCCTGGACGGAGCCCGGCGTCATGCGCTGCATGTAGTTGAAGAGGTCGCCCCCCACCTTGATCAACGGCTTGGACGTTCAGGGCTTTCGCAGCTCTAGACGAAATGGTGGTTCACGAAAATAGGGGGACCCCTGATATAGATCCCCAAATAGTCGGATTCCCTGTTAATCAGGACACCATGAAGGTAACCCCCTGATTTCGAAAACCCCCAAAAAGGGCTTCGGGCTTACTAGGATTCCGTTAGGTTGGACCCTTGGGTTCTGGGACCCTCCTAAAGATCCTTAAGGTAGTAGAAGAGCCATATTCGGAATATGTTAAGGGCAGCCTTTAAGGGTACAACCTCATGGGTACGAGTCTGAGTCCCTTGAGAAGCCAGGTCCTCCGGATCTGGAAGCCGTGCTGGCAAAAAAAATCGGGCGCCCGACGGCATGCTCGTAAACCACATACAGGCAGTCCTTCCATGAGGGTGTGGAGGGTGATAGGGCCCAACGGGGCTGAAAAGAGATTTTATCGGTGACCACCTACTTTCCACGCCACGCAAAACACACCTGAACCTGGCAAGGAAAACGGGTCGCTCCTATTGCTGATACATACCCTCCACACAGCTACAGCGTGACATGTCTTGTATGCAAAGTTTAGAGGCGAACTTGGCAATTGTGCCGTCTGGCGTCAGATGTAACTAGCCCCTCGGGTTCAGGGTTTGGGGTTTAGGGCCTTCGCCCCCTTCTTAACTATACCCTAAACCCTTAAACCCTTAAACCCTTTAACCCCAAACCCTAAATCCCAAACCCTAAACCCTAGCCCGAAACCCTAAACCCCAAACCCTAGCCCGAAACCCTAAACCCTAAATCCTAGCCCCTTGGACGGCCCTTTTGAGCAGTTGCCTTCCAGGTGCCATCCTCGGGCACTTGCCCCTTCACCAACTCAGCCACCTGCCCCCAGTTAGGGTTTAGGGTTTGGGGTTTGGGGTTTGGGGTTTGGGGTTTGGGGTTTGGGGTTTGGGGTTTGGGGTTTGGGGTTTAGGGGGATCGAGCCCAAGCTAAGAAAACGTCAGCAGATACACGAAACCAGGAGTGGTTCGGGTGTAGGGTTTAGGGTTTAGAGTTTGGGGGGTTTAGCCGCTCCGGCCCTGAGCCCCGAAACCCTAAACTTGGGATTAGGATTTTTGTTGGGTTGGGTGGGGATAAAGGTGTACTTAAGGCTTTCAGTCTTACGAGCACTTTCAGACTTTGGTTTCCTTCTGTTCTTTTTTTGTGGGGGGGGGGGGGGGGGGGGGGGGGGGGGGGGGGGGGGGGGGGGGGGGGGGGCGGGACGCGATTTCGGGTTGAGGACGTCGGGTTTTAAAGGGCATGTTGATTCTTAGGTCTTAGGGTTCAGGGCTTCGAGCTTTGCGGTCTAAGTGGGTTGAGGGCTTGAATGTCACATCTTGGCGCATGCGGGCAGAATCTGGGGACGAGGGCTTTGGCTTTGGGAGGAGTCGGGTTTTTTTGGGGGAGGGAGCTTGGTTTGGCATGCTTGCGGTTTAGCATTTAGTGCGCTACTTAGCTTCAGATTTGGATATGCACAATATTCCCACACGGCTCATGAACAGGGGGTTCTACTCCCGAGCTAGCTCCAAGGGTATATTGGCAAACTACGTACGGGCGAAAAGGAGAAGCCCCACATATTGCTACTCTAAGCCCTAAACCCTAAACCTTATAAACCCTAAACCCTAAACCCTATAAGCCCTAAACCGTAAACGACCCTGGCGCGGGCATCGTTTGTGCATCCGATGCCTTGGTGATGTTGGGATGAATCAGACCTCATCGGTGCGATGTGACCGACGGAAGGAAGGTCACAGAGTCCTAAACAAAGGGGGTTTATACTATAATTTTAAGGATGACCCACGACATGTGCTGGCAGTTCGCCAAAACTGCGGGAACAGGTGCAATCAGGAAGCATTTCATGCGCTCGAACTCCTGCTCCAGTTCTGCGCGGGCATCCGGATTCCTTAGCAGTTCCCACAACCTCTGTCTCTCACACGCACGCGCGCGCGTGTAGTGACTGCCCAAACTCAGCGGTGGTTGCATCAAGACCTGGCTCAAAACCACCCAGAACGAGTCCACAAAAAGAGATGCTCACCCTAAACCAGAAACCCTTTTGAACCTGGAAGCTGCTTCATTCCAGGACTGAGGGCCCTAAACCCTAAACCCTAAACCCTAAACCCTAAACCCTAAACCCTAAACCCTAAACCCCTAAACCCTATGGATCTGCCAAGGCTCTTGTCATGCGTTTCTTTGACCACATAGAATGGGCAGGCAGATGTGTCCTTCGGATCCTTCTTCCTTCCCAAGATTCGCGGCAGACCCACGGTTTAGGGTTTAGGGTTTAGGGTCTAGGGTTTAGGGCTTAAGGTTTCTTCTAAGCTCCAGCTTGAACACGACAAGCTTACGTAATTTGGGTGGGGGGGGTTCCCAAAAAAGGGGGAGCAAAATCCCTAAACCCTAAACCCTAAACCCTAAACCCTAAACCCGAAACCCTAAACCTAAAGCGGCAAACCTTGGTTGAGGGGGGGGACAGTCTGGGTTGAGGCTTTGAGTGTAGGGGCTTAGGGGATGTGACGACTGTGCGGCCCGTAGAGGGAAGAGGTCACCAAGCAACTCTAACCCCCAATTCCTTGGGATTCAGGGCATGGTTCTGGTCCCTCATGGCTGTTTAGGTTTAGGGTTTAGGGTTTAGGGTTTAGGGTTTAGGGTTTAGGGTTTAGGGTTTAGGGTCCAAAAAAAGAACTCTGAGGCAGAGCTACAGCCTGATAAGCACCAAAAGCTCAAACCCCCTGATCCGAATGCATCTTCGCTTGTTGAGCCCGTATTGAAGCACTGAAGAACGACGCAAGCCCGCCTTGACCTGAAGATACACCACTATTTGCTTAAGAACCCCAACAACAAACAATCCCTATATTACCCTTATAAGGAAGAACATTTTGTATTTGTTTGGGGTTCTTGAGCAATTGGTAGTGCAAGGGTTAGGGTTTAGGGGTTAGGACCAGGGATTGAGGGTTTGGGGCCTTCGAGTCCGCATGACCCTCACCCATACTCAGCCGCACCCCGACATCCACAGAGATACCCCTACACCCTAAACCCTAAACCCTAAACCCTAAACCCTAAACCCTAAACCTCGTCGCTCCGAGCGGCTGCCTGACCAGGAAAGTCTTTCCTTGCGTGCCAGTGCCAATCCTAAGGCGAGCTTCCATGATTTTGAGGCACTTTGTCTGGATTGGCTTTGAAGTTCAAGGGCTCAAGGCTCAAGGATGGGGTTGACGGTTTAGGGATCCTTGGTTCAGGAGGGTTTAGGGTTTAGGGTTTAGGGTTTGGGGTTATACCGAACTGAACGTTCGCAAACTGTCCTCTCTCATCACGAAGGTCATGCCGGCAGCATGTTTTCAGGCAAAAGCTTCGGTTGGGGCTTTGGGAAACTGCAGGGCTGGAGGGTTCATGCGGTTGGCATTGTCAGTCTGGGAGCTGCAAAATCACGGAAGAGAAACCGAGCCATCCAAGCAAGTTGTGCTAACCCTAAACCCTAACCCTAAACCCTAAACCCTAAACCCTAACCCTAAACCCTAAACCCTAAACCCTAGTTGCAGACACCGTGCTGCTTTACGATGTCGTACTTGTCTTGCAGCGTCGAAGTGCCGTGGAGGATGCTCACCTAGGATAGTTGGCAGGGCAAGTCGTTGATTAGGGTTTAGGGTCTACGGTTTAGGGTTCAGGGTTTAGGGCCTCCAACAGCACGGGGCAGGACTAAAATGGAATAGTACACGATTCTAGATGGGACTCCAGCGTCGGGAGGCCTAGTGTGCGACCGATGGCAAGTCTCCAGCCCCACATACTCCGCAATTTTTACGTCCATGGTCACATGAAGCGGCCCGGCATCGTAGTCTTGCAACTCTGACTCTCAAATCGGGAGACCTTCTGCACACTATCAGCATTTGGATGCCGACATGATTACATTGTTCCCCTAATCGCCTTTCCATTCGTGCAGTACGAGAATATGCAATCGAATACCACATGCCTCTGTATCATGCGATGCTGAACCGTCTCTGAAATGCTCTGAATCCTAAACCCTTTTTGAACCTAAACCCTCAACCCTCAACCCTAAACCCTAGAGTGCCCTCGGCGAATGCAGCACTGAGAAGCTTCCACCAGCTTGGAGTGTTCGAACGTGGGCCTCGGCTCTCTGGGATACGGGTACCCCTTTTCGGGTTTCAGGGTTTAGGTTTTAGGGTTTAGGGTAAGGGTTTAGGGTTTAGGGGTTACAAAGGACCCCCCAAAAGGGTACCCCTATTTTCGTAAACAAAAACCCATATGGGAAGTTCTCTGAGGTCTTGTGCTTCTTACGGAGTTCCGGGGGGGGTTCAGGGCTTAGGGTACAGGGTGCCATAATCATCTTGCCCCTGATATGCCTCTTTACAAAATATTCCTAGGAATCTCCAACACCTTAAACGCAAGCCCTACAGGCTACGGAAAGCCGAAGTCCGGCACGCAAGGCGGGTTTCGGGTTTGCGGCGCTACGGTTCAGGTGCACTGCCGACTAGTTTAGGGTTTAGGGTTTAGGGTTTAGGGTTTAGGGTTTGCTGAACCCAGGGTCCTCGGAACAACTTGCAGCCCAGGCACGCCGAGACGAGCAGGCCCATATGTACTGCAAAGCAGGTGAGGCGCTGGCGCAGACAGAGGGACGCCGGATGGCGGCTGAGAAAATCGCAGGCTGTTGGCTTCTGCCAGCTGCGACGAATTACGACGAGGGGCGATGTTGCGCTGTTGCCACGCCCGAACGACCTCCTGCACTTCTGAGCGTAAGGGTTGAGGATCTGCACGCTCAGTTTCCCTCAGGTGGAAGGAATGTACCTGAAAGTATGTAGGGATCCTCAAGATGATTGAATAGGTATATTCCTTGACTAGGGGGGTCTTGGTCCCTGAGGTGGTAGGTTGTAGGAGGCTTCAAGGAAGTAGGACTTCCTGGCTGTTCGGCGTCAGTGGGGTTTAGGGTTTAGGGTTCAAGGTTCAGGGTTTAGGCTACATGCATGTGCCGAAACGCTCACCCCCTCTCACCGCACCGATCCCTAGCGTAGCTGCGTGTGGCTCCCTAAACCCTAAACCCCAAACCCTAAACCCTAAACCCTAAACCCTAAATCCTAAACCCTAAACCCTAAACCCTAAACCCTAGCATAGCAGGCTTTATAACAAGGGTGTGGGCCAGAAGCCGCGGCAAGGACAGTGGAATTGCAGTGCCGGAGGTTGCGGGGAGTCTGCGGAAAAATACGCATGCCAATTTATCATTGTATGTATGTATGTATATATGTACATGATATATGTACATGATATATGTATATGTATATGTATCTGTATATGTATATGTATATGTATGTATATAAAACGATCATTGCATGTACTGCGGTATGATCTTATTGTAGTATGTTCTGATATGTGATATCATTATACTACTGGTATGATCGTACTGATAAAGTAGTGGTGGTAGCAAAAGCAGCAAGCGGGGCAGCAAGGATGGACCGTCGACCCCCTTAGTTCCTTTATTACTCCCTATGCCCTCCCTATCCCGCTCTTAAAAGTCTTAGAGTTCAGGGTTTAGTTCAGCTCCGATGCTCCTAAAGCCCCTGGTTATCACCCGACTGTCCCAAAAGCCGCAAAGCCAACAGCAGCCCAAAGCCGTATGTGTGTCCCAGGCATCATTCACGACAAGGAGCCAAGTTGAGACCCTGCAAGCCTCAGATCCATACTCCCCTTAGAAAAAACAGCATTCTTAATATTCTCTTGGGTTCATGCAAAGAAAACATCCTATACTCCCCTTAGAAAAAAAGCATTCTTAATATTCTCTTGGGTTCATGCAAAGAAAACATCCTATACTCCCCTTAGACAAAAAGCATTCTTAATATTCTTTTGGGTTCAGGCAAAGAAAAAGTCCTAAGCGGGGTATAGAGATGAAGGCCCCCCATATCTCGGCCCTCCGCTCACTTCGCGGGGAGTCGGCGTGTAGGCGGAGTGTCTCTGGGCCTGAGCCAAGGTCGAGTGGGCAAAAATCCTCGGCGATGAAGCGTCTTGTGTCGACCACCGAGTCTGGAAACCCTAAAACCCCAACCCTAAACCCTAAACCCTAAACCCTAAACCCTAAACCCTACACCTGCATCTTTAACCTCTTAAGCTCAAAGGGTTCAAAGCACCATTCTCAAGCCCTTGGTTCAGTTGAACCCACTGACTGTGGTGCGGCGATTCACTTCTCTCTCCCTCCGCCCTTCTCCCGGGTTTACGGTTTGGGGTCTAGGGTTTAGGGATTAGGGTTTAGCGTTCCCCCTTCTCTCCCCGGGTTTGCATAAGCATGCTTGAGATGAATAACTAGCCCTCGTCCGAAGGTCCACAAGCGGCGTGCAAGAACCCTAAACCCCCCTCTCTCTCTCTCAATCTCTCACTCTCTCACTCACTCACTCACTCACTCACTCACTCTCTCTCTCTCTCTCTCTCTGTCTCACTTTCTCTCACAGTTAAAACAAAGCCTGAACCCTCCACCCTGCATCCTGACAGCACGTGCTCAGCTGCGTGCAACCCACGAGGGGGGGGAGTCCGCTGCTTCAGAGGCAATTTGGACAACCTGAGGTCGGGTTTAGGGTTTGGGGTTTAGGGTTTAGGGTTTAGGGTTTAGGGTTTAGGGTTTAGGGTTGGTTTAGGGTCTAGAGGGGTTCCGGGCTGAGGGTTCTGGGGGGTTTTAGGGCCCTACAGGGTATGCTGACTGGGAGGGGGAACTCTCGGCCCCAGCCTTACAAGAATCATTCACCATACCGCAAACCCATATCCCTTAACCGATAACAGGGTTTAGGGTTTAGGAAAGTTTAGGGAGGATTTTATAATACCTCCTAATTTCTCTTAAGGGTCTGCCCAAGGGGTATGTTGAAAATGTTCATGCATTTACTTAACGGCCGCCCACGCTAAGTTGCGCTATCAAGGAACCGGCAAGGCTGGATGCATCAGGACGATGCTGCCAGGGCACAGGGGCACCTATCCCTATACCCTAAACCCTACAAACCCTGCAAACCCTAAACCATCAACTCACAAGTGCCCTAGACACCAATCCCCGGAACCTCAGCAAGCAGGAGAGGAAGCCATAGCCAACCCCAAACCCTAGAAATCCTGAACCCTAAGCCCTAAGCCCTAAACCCTAGCCCTAAACCCTAAGCCCTAAGCCCTAAACCCTAAACCCTAAACCCTGAACCCTAAACATCCCTAAGACCATATCCGCCCCAGCCCCTCCGCCACCTCCTTTTGGAGCTCCGGGTGTGGCACCAGGTGATACGAGGAGGTGAGAACCTGGGTTTCGGGTTTGGGGTTTGGGGTTTAGGGTTGGGGTTTAGGGTTTAAGGTTTAGGGTTTAGGGTTTAGGGTTTGGGGTTTGGGGTTTGGGGTTTGGGGTTTGGGGTTTGGGGTTTGGGGTTTGGGGTTTAGGGTTTGGGGACTAGGGTTTGGGGTTTGGCGTTTAGGGTTGGGGTTCAGGGTTTAGGGTAGCTCAACGAAAGTCCACTGCGCGGGGCGCATGTCATTCTTAGGGCACGCCCTGTTAAGACCACCTGAAACTCCTCAAACTCCAATGCACAGGCCCCTAAACCCGAAACCCTAAACCCTGAACCTGGGTTGAGGGTGTAGGACTACCAGAATTCCAATCGCCCAGCAGCAAGCGGATGCACTGAGAATCCAAGACGTACTTTGTGTTGGTTAGTACCCTCAGCCCTAGACCTTTATAGACCTTTGCAGACTAAGAATCCAAGACGTACTTTTTCGTTGGTTAGTAGTTACCCTCAACCCTCAACCCTTTTTGCATCCAGGCTTACCCAAAACCCTAAACCCTGAATACCTTCGAGGATCTGTCGGCAACCGACAAAACCGTAGGTTTTGTGTTCTCGAGCTTTAGACCCTAAACCCTAAACCCTAAACCCTAAACCCTAAACCCTAAACCCTAAACCCTAAACCCTAAACCCTAAGACTAGTCGGCCCGTGCGCGAGAAGCTCCACAACGCAGAAGGCCGAGGCTCCCTGCAGGCTCAAAGCCCCTCCTCCGCTGAACCTGACCGATTTTCGGGTAAAGGGTTTAGGGTTTAGGGTTTAGGGTTTAGGGCAAAAGTTTAGGGTTTAGGGTTTAGGGTTTAGGGTTTAGGGTTTAGGGTTTAGGGCATACTTGGAGGTTCACGGGTAGTTATAAGTAGGGCTATACGTAAGGTGACTATACTTATAACCTTGCTTCAGGTACGTATAACCCTACTTACAACTACCCATGAACCTCCAAGTAATCTTGTTTGAAACTGGACATGCTGAACCCTAAACCCTAAACCCTAAACCAGGAGGAAGCCGCTCACCTGAACTCTATAAACACCTTTTGCAGCTGGACTGAGAGCGACGCCGGAATGCCCTGAACTACCTTTTGCTTAAGAACGAAACAAAAAATAGAAAGGTTCTTCCTATTACTACTAGAGCACCATAGGGATGATTGTTCCCAAGGGCCCAATGCCCCTTGAACAAAGAAATCTGCCTGAAAATTTTAGGTATCCTTGATATGGCTTAAGGTATATTTCTTAATGAAAGGCTATTTGGCGCACTCTGAATTCTTTTTGCATCCAGGCCTCTTCGAACACTGCCGGGCAAGTCATACCAACTAGGACACTGGGACACTGAGGCGGAGGCAAGTTACAGTACTGGCTGACTGTCACTCACCCACGCAAGAACTAATGTCTCGCACGCGCCCATCCGAAATAACATCCACCATAAAGATGACTCGAAAGGTTACAAACATGGAAGCATGAAGAGCATGCCAAGCGTGAATATGGGTTTCCCACACCGCCTGACTCATGGACACCATGGCAGCCAAAAAACCATACTGCATTCTGCAATGGCCGAGCAGGTTCTGACTTTCGGGCAGCAACCTCTCAGCAGACACAGACTAAACTCCGAAACCTGAACCATAAGCCCGCGAATTCCAGACACTGGCGGGTGCCTTATAAATGTCGCCTCCGCCGTTCCCCGGCTCGATGCGCCTCAGGCCCGCGGGGGCTTCAGGGTTTACAGGTTAGTCTAGGCCTTAGGGTGTTAGGGTTTGGGTTTAGGGCTAGGTCTTTTTTCGCTCGCGAATAGCTGGCCGAACCCTGCTTTGCCTGCGTTTGGGGTTTAGGGTTTAGGAAGCAAGTTCAAACAAACACCCGAGCAAGTCAATCTGAATGTCGTGATCTCGTTCCAGCGGTCAATTTCCTTGTCGATACCCCCCCCCCCTATTCTTTAGTTTGAGGAATGGAAAACCCTTATAGAAAAAGTTCTGGGGCTATGATGGGCTCTGACTAAACTGGTCGGGGCGCTTTACAGCGATTTGGGAGCTTTGGCCCTTCACCGGGCACAACATCTTCAGGAACGTGCACATGAACTCAACTGAGGGTTTCCGAAAAGAGGGGTACCCTTTTTGGGCGTCTCTTTGAGGGTGGCTCTATTTGGGGGGTATAAAAGGGGTACCCCTATTTTGGGAAATGTTCAACTGGATCTTCCGGCTTCACTTTCAGCAGCGTTCGGGGGGCACCGGGAAGTCGTTGTTTTCGATTCCATGCTTGGCCAGGTACCCCACGGCTTTACTTAGCCAGGATTTAAAGGGCTTAGGGTTTAGGATCTAGGGGAGGGGTTCGGGTTGAGCACGTCGTACGGTTTGCCATTAGACACCATCCGTGGCCGAAGCCCCCCCAAAGGCACTGGCGAATAGCGGTGCTTGATCGCGTGCTCGATGACCTTCAGCAGCTCGCTTTTCACTCAGCCAGCTGGGTTTGGAATTTCGGCCGCCTTTTCCCTAAACACGCGTGGGGCCTCTTGAGTATCTGAGTTTGGAGTGCATGGAACTATGGCTCGTTCTTGGTGCAGTGCCCCAACCTATTCAGGGAAATACAAGAAATATGCTACCTCCTGTTGCAGCGGCAAAAAGAGATCAACCCCCCCCCCCCCACACTGCTTCTGGAATCCCGCAGGTGTCTGCAACAGGGAGAGACTGGAAACTTGTGAGGTCGTAGTGGCAAGGCTGGCAAAGCATCCTAAGCACCTGGGGCGTACCCCTGAGGGCGTCACGGCATAGTAGCAGCACTCGAAGTGCAGAAACGGCGCCTTCTCGGGATTGCTGAACCTGAGTCCAGGGTTTAGGGTTTAGGGTTTGGGGCTTGGGGTATGGGGTATGGGGTTTGGGGTTTAGGGTTCAGGGTTTGCTGACGGAAGCCCAGAAAATAGAAGAATCCCCTCAAGAAAGGAAGTTACAACTAAGGGTTTTCTTTCCGATGTCCCTCAAAGGGCCCCTAAAAGCTCGTCCTAGAAGAACTAGAAGCAGAGCAGCAAGTCCAAAACCCTTTAGGGTTTAGGGTTTAGGGTTTAGGGTCCCTAAACCCTAAACCCTAAACCCTAAACCCTAAACCCTAAACCCTAAGGAATCGAGACTTCAAGGTGGGCATGGACCGGCCGCTGAGAACTGCACAGGGGCCCCTAAAAGGGACATAAGCACAATCATATAATAATATAATCATATAGCCATATAATCGTATAATCATATAATAATGTGATATAATGATATAATGATGTAATAATGTAATAATATAGACTGTCTATCCGGTTTCCTCCTTTTTTGGGCTTCAATTTAGTAATATCAGGGGATCTATATGGGATATCCCTATCCGGATTTTGCTTCTGTGCTTTTCGTGGGCCCTCCTGTAGTTTCCCTTCTTCATGAAGGAAAAGGCGGCCTAAACCCTCGGAAGCCTCTGAACCCTGCGGGTTTCGGGTTTAGGGTTTACTCGGCGCGGTCTCTGGTATCTGAGCAACTGAGCGCCAGTGCAGGGGGTTTAGGGTTTCCAGGGTTTATACGGTTTACAGGGTTTGCAGGGTGTAGAGGCATCCCAGCATCTCGGTCACACCCAGCCCAAAGTCACATCTGAATCCTGGCTTGGCTGGGTTTCCGAGCCCCCAGTATCTGCCAAAGATGTGGCCATCTTTGATGAAGCACATCCTCAAGGCACGTTCCCCCGTATACTAACAGTCCTTAATGGGGAATATGATAGAGGGTACTATAATCCTCATTAAGGACTGTTAGTATAAGGGGGAACATCCCAACACATCCTCAAGGGATTTGGGGTCTCGCAGGGTTTCTAGGGCCCAGGGACGTGACGTAGTTGCTGCTCCGCTTCACGTGTCACGGCTCCAAAATAAGGATCGCACGAACCACCCATCACCTCATCTCCCTTCTTCGTGTTGCCTGAAGCACCAGAAGCAAATGGCTTGAAGTGTCACTCGCCCCCCCCCCCCCCCCCCCCCCCCCTTCTCCTCCCCCTTTGCGGGCAATGGTGCTGCGCGAATGGAGACTGAGGCTTGCAGTCCGCTCACAGTGTGACTGCATTGCAGCTAGGTTCCGCTAGGTTCCACGGCGGCCTAGGAATAATATTGCAGCCGGTTCGGAAAAAAGGTGCTGCGGTCCGAGCGAGGTTGCCGAAGAAGGCATTATATTTACGAAGGGCTATAAAAGCTCAGGGCCAGGCGCGCCAGCACGAGAAGCATTCGGTGTGGAAGCCGCTCACCTCAGCGGTGCGCCTAAGAATGCCCTCCTCCTTTGTCCTCGAGTGTTACAATCGAAGAATCACCGGGCACAGACAGTGCATGCCCTGCACTCCAGACCCGTAATCTTTCGCGGACGACTTCTACCATGACGATTAACTCTACTTCGACTTCTCGTAATACTATAGTACTAGAAACTCAGTACCCTTGTACTACTGGTAGCAAGAGTAGCGACAGAATTCCCTATGACTCGATGACTCTATCACACTTTTCCCCCTGGGAACAACGAATCAGGGGAGAGCTAGCAGCTCCAGCTGGAAAGTCTCACCAGCATGCCCTGGAGGTATTTTCTTGAAGGCCTGTGAAGATGTTTGCATTGGAACAACCGGATACTATAGGGTTTAGGAGTTCAGGGTTTACATACATTGAACCAGCCGGATAGAATCATGTCATTTATACACCCTAAGCCCAAAAAAGTCTGTCACGGCTACATAGCCAAAAGCCCTCCGTAAGCATCCTGATCACTCTACAGCAGCTGAGGCCGAAGCCCAGCAATCTGAAGAACTTCTCGCTCAAGTCACAACTGCGTCACAGCGCACAGGGGGGAGGATTCAGGAAGAGAGAACGAGCTGTCCGATTCTTGCCCTTAAGTCACTTCTTTCAGCTTCTGCGCCTTTCGTTGCTTGTGAAATAATATAAGAACCTTAATAATTAGAAAAGGGCTTTGGGGGGTTATTAGAGTATATCTATAAAGGGACCCTATAAGGGAATGCTCTTCAAAATTATTGGGACCCCTAAACCCTAAACCCTAAACCCTAAACCCTAAACCCTAAACCCTAAACCCTAAACCCTAAACCCTAAACCCTGCATCGGCTCCCCGGGTGCCTGTACTCGTCATCGCAGAGATCCACGTTGCCGTGCTTGAGCCTGGTGCCCTAAACCCTAAACCCTAAACCCTAAACCCTAAACCCTAAACCCTAAACCCTACCCTAAACCCTCGGAGACTTTTGGCCAGACTAAGTACCCAGGATGGGCTATTAGGCCTTTTAATCCCCATAATCAACCCTATAAAGGTCCTTTTTAAGGGGCTTATAGGATGAGGAATGTACCTTACATGATATAGGGATCCTTAGTATGATTTAAAGGTATGTTCCTTAATTGAGAGGTATTGGGCTCTCTGGGTACTTGGTAGCCCAGTAACCAAAATTATAACAAGCGCACCCTTTTGGGGGGTTGGATACTTTATAAGGGAACCCATAACCAGAACAAGGTAAAGGGTACGACCGGGCTACCACGAGTAAGCACCGTTCTTCCGTCGGCATGCGGTATGCGCTGGGCATGTAGTTCTTAGCTTTGGAGTAGACCCTGGAAAAAAGTATATACTTTTTAGGTCATAAGTAGCAATCATAGGAACCCAGAATCAAAAAAAGTATTAAAGTATAGTACTCCTTAACCCTTAACCCTAAACCCTAAACCCTATAGTACTCCAAAGCCCAGGCATGTAGTTGCACTGAGGCCAAGGCTGGGTCGGCACGTAGCAGGACAGGTACCTTGAGTGTCGCAGTTGCCGGGTCGCTTCTAAACCCTAAACCCTAAACCCTAAACCTAAACCCTAATCAAACCCTAACCCACCGCTGGACTGCCCGCCCCATACCCCTGAACCCTTTTTGTGCTTCAGGGCTCCTGCGGAATACCCTACAAACCCTACACCCTAAAGCCTTAACCCTAACCCCTAACCCTAAACCCTTAACCCTAAACCCTAAACCCTAAGCCCTAAGCCCTAAAAACCCTACACTCCCCCCGCCCCACCCCCCAAACGAGAAACACAGAAGATCCATGTCGCGGCCGCGGATGATCATGGGAGTGTCCTCCTAGCATCTCACGTGTTTTCTTGCTTCATAAACCCAAAGAGCCCAGTACCCCCGTAAATAAGGAAGTCTCCTGAAATCAATCCATCCCCCTATTATAAAACCCCCCCTTACAGAAACTCGAAATATGTTTGTAATATTAAAGGCATGTTTTTTCTCCATGTGCCATCTCCTGGGATAAGGTTTAGATTGGCTTGAAGATCTTTGAGGCCCTGAACCCCACCCCCTAATTCGGAATAGGGCTTTAAAGGCGGGCTCGGTTTCGGCAGGATTTTCCGGAAAGCGTGTTTTACAATTGGGGGTACGTTTAATACAAGGGGAAGTGGGGAAGTGATTTTGAAGGGATCCTTCGTATGATTTTAGGTATGTTCCTTATAATTAAGGCGTATTGGGCTCTCCGAACATCCCCCTCCCGCAGTGACCACAAGGTTTTCGCCTTTATCTGCCCAGCTTTCGGGAAAAAAACACGCCATGGTCCATCCCTTAAAGCTATTGTCTTCGGGGTGGACCACCCTAAACCCTAGACCCTAAACCCTAAACCCTAAACCCTGAACCCTAAACCCTAAAGAACGACCGAGCCCGGCCCATTATCCAAGGAGTCTTTGTTTTTTTCTGCTCAGATGGGTTGGTTTCTCAGCATGAGGACGTCTTTTTGGTACCCCCCCCCCCCCAATCAAGCCCGAAGGATGCTATCAACCCCTAAACCCTAAACCCTAAACCCTAAACCCTAAACGGTCTGTTTCTGACGATCTCAGCCCCCGAGGCAGCGGCACTTGTGACATCAGATCAGGCGTCACCTCAGAGACCAAGGCATGCGCAAAGCACTTAGGGTTTAGGGTTTAGGGCTTAGGGCTTAGGGTTTAGGGGGGTCTTAAAGTACCTCTTATTTAGGGACTTTAGGGCCCAAGTACATAACAATGAGGTACATGGACCCTTAGGGTTAGAGATGAGCAACATGCCTTAGACCGACTCATCCGTAGTTGGTGATGCATTCCGTAGGGTTTATATCCTACTTGCTGAGTACCCTCGGCCAAAAAATTGGACCCCTTTTTTTGCCTCAAATGGGTACCCCCCCCGTGAAACCGGGGTCCGCAAGCGCACTTCGCCAGGATGAGAGGCAGTTGAAGCCCGTCCCAGCAGGGCCCCCCCACCCCAATCCCCACGGTGCGACCCCCCCCACCCCCCTTCTCTCCCCCTGCGGGGCCTGGCTCAACTTTACGATCAACCGTCTCAACCCTCAACCTTGAACCTTGAACCCTAAACCCAAAAAACCCTAAACCCCAAACCGTGAACCTTGAGCCCTAAGCCCTCAACCCTAAACTAACCCTCAACCCTAAACCCCAAACCATAAACCATAAACCCGAACCCTAAACCCTAGACCCAACCCTTACTGCTTGGGGTCCAGCGACTTGGGCGCTGCGGAATCACCATGCTCACGTGGATGCGCTGGGCCGGTCCGAGGCGGGTCGCGTAGCGTTAAAATTATGGTAAAACTATATATGCCCCAAAAGGTTAAAGGTTACCGACTCAGCTGCTAAGATATCAACAAATTACGTAAGTATTCTCCGCCTTTGACTTGACGACCCTGAGAGTTGTAGGGTCTGCTGCTTCCGGGCTTCGACATGGTCAAAGCCCATGTCCCAGAGACCTCCCCCCCAAACGAAACCCTGAACCCTGAACCCTAAACCCTTCCCACAAAAAAGAACTAGGGAAATAAGGCGCGGGCGAGCGATGGATCAATGGAGCCATCGACCACATCAATCCTGACCTGGAGTGCGGATTGCTCCAAGTTCGATCCTATCCTGGGGCAGGGAGAGCGAAGAGGGGGGGGGAAGGGGGGAGGGGGGGGAAGGGGGGGGGGGGGGGGAAGGGGGGTGAAGGGGGGGGGGAGAAGGGGGGGGGGGGGAGGGTTTAAGGTTTAGGGCGATCTCGCGATCTCACGATCTCCAACATCGCCATCATTGTACCCTAAACCCTACACCCTAAACCCTAAACCCTAAACCCTGCACGGCCACCAGTGGAGCTCTGAGGAGTTGACGTCCTTGTTGGAGGCGAGTGCCTGCTGGGGGCGCTCTTGAGACTTCGCTTATCAATGTTTAGGGCTTATAGGGTTTAAATTTCAGGGTTTGAGTTTAGGGTTTAGGGTTTAGGGTTTTCGGGTTTAGGGTCGTAGCCCAGTAAACCCCAAGCCTAGGCCTAAGCCCTAAACCCCGTTTTTGCATCCGGGCTCTACGCGATATCTGCCGGAACCAAAGACTCAACCCGCTTCGCTTTATCTCATGAGATTCTCAAGACAGTGCAAGCCAAGGACATCCCCAAACCCCCAAACATCTGGCTTTTCGAAGTATTCGACCCCCAGGAGACCCTCAATGCCTTAGACTCCATCAACGGTGTCTACGGTACTTTGGACCTCCTCGAGTACGAGGTTGTCGTCTTGGGGCTGAGGACCGGTTTGAAGAACCCTTTTGGAAAAAAGGGCTTCGGGGTTACGAGTTCAAATTGTTTGGAGAGGATAACGCACTACCTCGGGCTCGCAAAAGCCCCTGCAACTTAGACCCGCAAATCCCTTGCGGAAGGGAGTGCAAGGTGGTTGCTTGACGTTAAGGGCAGTGTCCATTTGCTCCTGTGACAGCCGCTCCCTTCACAGTGGTGGCAGTGGTTCTGGTGAATACTTTCAAGGACCACTCCTCAACAGTCGCAGGTTAGCCGTTTGGGAATGGTTGCTTGCGCCTGCTACACCTGTGCCCAGAGAATCGCTATGTGATGGGCTTGTGGCACGGATGTGCAGAACTGGGTGACACTCAACGAAACCTCAACCCTAAACCCTAAACCCTAAACCCCTCAAGCACTAACGGCTGTGCAGCGTCTGGGCGCCCAGCGGATCGCTGTTTTGCAATCTCCCGCGCGTTCTTCAGCCGCAGCCTGAAGAAGCTGCTGCTTTGGCTGGTTTAGGGTTTAGGGTTTAGGGTGTTGGGTGTTTAGGGTTTAGGGTTTAGGGCCTAGGGTTCAGGGTTCAGGGTTAGAACTCAGGGCCTGGCGCTTGAGAGCCGCATCTACTTCTTCGGCGCGGATGTGAGTGTTGCAGATGCACCATTCCAGCAGCCATGCTGACAACTTTTGACATCTCCCCGGGCACCTCCGCCCATGCGTCAGACAATTCAGGGTTTCTGTGTGTTGCGCAATCCGACTTGGTAGCCCAGTAAGCGCCCTTTTTGGGGTGCTACGAGTAGTTGGGTTACCTTCACAAACCCCAACAGACCGGCAGGGTACCTCTGCGCTACCAAGATCAGCAAGGAGTAAGAGCCTAAGCCCCGGGCATTCGCAAGAAATCGTTGAAGTCTGCGTAGGGTTCTGGCCTCAACTGCCATCAGGAATCAATGTGGGTCAGCTTCCCAGCCTGAAATTTCGCGCGTGCGCATGTCTGCATGTCTGCACACGCCTACACTTGACCCCCCCGGCCCTGAAAACGAGTCTGCACCAGAGGCGACCCTGTGGCCTAGAGTGGGCCCCGCTCCCGATGAATTCAAATTCCTTCGTGATAGCTGAGCTGAACCTGATACATGCTGCTACTGATATGCGTGTGCTGAGAATAGGAGTGCCTGAAATGAATTTGAAGAAATCAGTAGCTGCACGCAGACAGCGATATCTACATGTATTCATCGATCGCTCGGCCTACATTCACACGGCGTGCGCGCATCCCACGTACGCAGGCATGCCTCCATGTTATGTGTGCTTCACACAGCTGGATGATGCCAACATTTCGTCATCTGCACCACGTTGGGCGAACACCTCCTGATCTATGACGCTACGTACCTACTTCCACTACCTTAGCTTTGGAGTAGACCCTGGAAAAAAAGTATATACTTTTTAGGTAATAAGTATAGCTATAATAGAACCCAGAACCAAAAAAAGTATCAAAGTAGAGTACTCCAAAGCCCAGCTACAGCCGAACATGCCAGAAGACAGGCTGTGCTTTAGCACTGCAGCATCCGGATGTTCTCGTGCACGGCCGACACTTTCAAATTGAAGACGTAGCTTCCCCCCTTCACTGGTATGCCTAAAGAGAAAGCTTACTGTCAGGAGCCTTTCAGTCATTATTCAGCAATTGCAACGGCTTCTGTTGAAAGTGTGCTTGGCAGGGTGCCAGGTGCACCGCAGAGATTTTGAACACTCCCTGTACAAAGAACTTCAGGGTTTAGGGTTTAGGGTTTAGGGGTGCTGGAATGGAGGGCTCGTGGCTGAAGATTGCAAGGGTTCACAGGAGGGGCTCAAGGACCACAAATGGCTTCGGTTGCTCCTTCCTCAATGCCCTTTTTGAATCCGGCACTGCCGAACCCTAAACCCTAAACCCTAAACCCTAAACCCTAAACCCTGGCGTGCGTTCTTGCATCTGCCGGATCACCGGATCACGCTCCATGGAAATCTGCGTCGAAGTCATCGTCATCGTCGTCTTCTTGTGGCAGCCCCTCCCCTTCCTGCATAGCAGATGGACTAAGGGTTAGGGTCCAGGGTTCAGGGTTCAGGGTTCAGGGTTCAGGGTTCAGGGTTCAGGGTTCAGGGTTTTTTGTTTAGGGTTTAGGGTTTAGGGTTTAGGGTTTAGGGTTTAGGGTTTAGGGTTTAGGGTTTAGTCATCCTGAGGACCTCCCATCCCTCACCCCGAGAAGCCCTAGGAACCCTCAGAGCCCTACGGTTGAACGGAGCGACCCTAAGCCCTCTAGGGTTTAGGGTTTAGGGTGGGTTTAGGGTTTAGGGTTTAGGGTTTAGGGTTTAGGGTTTAGGGTTTAGGGTTTAGGGTTTAGGGTTTAGGGTTTAGGGTTTAGGGTTTAGGGTTTAGGGTTTAGGGTCGTTAGGTTTACGGTTTCGTACACTTCTGGTTTGCAGGCTTCGTAGCTCAGAAGCCATATGCATTTTTGATAAGAGTACCCTTTGTTGGCGGTGCGCTTGCCTCTAAGAGTGATAGAACCTCTCAAAAGCAACAAGGGTACCTACCACTGGGCTACCTTTTCCTTCTGTTCCGCTGCCGAAACCCTAGACCCTCAGCTATAAACCCAAAACCCTTTTGCAACTGACCCTAAACCCTAAACCCTAAACCCTAAACCCCAGCTCTAGCCCTAAACCCTAAACCCTAAACCCTAAACCCTCCAGCCGAGTTTGGCCCTCCTCGTAGGCTTGCATCTTCCGTCGGCTGCGCAGCACCGATCCGACACCCCGCAAGAGGAGGTCCAGGCCGACCTTTTGATAGGTTTTAGGGTTTAGGGTTTAGGGTTTGGGGGTTTAGGGTTTGGAGTTTGAGGTTTGGGGTCTACGGCTTCTGAGTTGTGAGGGTGGGAAAATGCGTTCCAGCACCTTGTATCCCCCCGTAGAAGCCTTTGAAGAACTTTTCGGGAAAGGGGACAGTCGACTCTACGACAGTTGATGCTGGTGCTTCGCTCCATCGGAGGAGACGGTTGGTGTTTTGGGACTTTAGCACTTCCCAGTCATCCGGAGAATAACAAGGTTCCTCTTTTCCACGAGTTGCATGGCGAAGGGAAAACCAAAACTAACCCCTGAGAAAGAGAACGAGGACACCACTGAGGCTCCTCAGCTTTAAAGAACAAAGGAGGCCTTGTTGCACACCAAGGGTTTCCTAAACCATCCACAAAGCAGGCCTTCCTCATCGGTTCTAATACTATTTGCTTCAGAGCCCCCACCCCCCACCCCCCCATAAACATAAAGAACAAGAATCCCTGTCTTGCCCGAATATGGAAGATTTGTTTCCCATTTTAGCAAATAGCAGTCTACCCTAAACCCAAACCCTGCACCCTGAACCCTTAACAGTCTGGTCTGGTGCTTGACTGCTTGGGACAAGTTGACAAGTCCCAAAAGCGGAACGTCCAACCCAATATCCAGGCAGAATCTGACGATTTTCACCTGAGGTTTTCGAGTCTACCTAGCATGGCCCCCTAAACCCTAAACCCTAAACCCTAAACCCTAAACCCTAAACCCTAAACCCTAAACCCTAAACCCGAAACCCTAAACCCTAAACCCTAAACCCTAAACCCTAAACCCTGAGCCATGCTAAAAGGCAGCGCTTCCGGGGCAACAGGGCTGGTTTTTCGGAGGGGCCCATGACATGCAGACAGCTTCCCTAAACCCTAAACCCTAAACCCTAAAGACTCCCAAGCTCCGCACTCGTGAGAAGAAGACCAGGGAGACCGAACCTGGTCAGCGTCATATGACGAAGTGTAGGGTTTAGGGTTTAGGGTTTAGGGTTGAGGGTTTAGGGTTTAGGGTTTAGGTTTTAGGGTTTAGGGTTTCGGGATGTTGTTGCATTACTTGTCATTACTAAGACTTGTAAGCCACCAAAACCAGGATTCTAATTGAACTAGTTCTTAGACTGCCCTTCCCTAAACCCTAAGCACGAAACCGTTAAGGCTGCTGGGTTGTCAGGCTTTAGTTTGGGGATTGCTGGGCTCTTGCTAAGGAGCTTGCAGTGCTACGAGGCTGCCATACTAAGGGTTCAGGGCTTGGGATTCAGGGTTTGGGGTTTAAACCCATCTCGCGATGTCTTCATTCAAGCGGGGCTGCCTTGCCACGCCCTGATGCCCAAACCGCTGGGTGGTTGTTAAGAAACTTACATCAAGGCACCATCATCAGGGGACCATGATGTTGCCCATGACATTATGCTTAAGTTTGCGGTAACATCTGGACATACTATTCATATCAAAACAACTTAAGTCCTGAATAGCAACCCTGGCAAAAAAAAAAAAAACTCGAACACTGCAAGCAGGCTGCCGACCACCGACGCGAAGCCATATGGCCACGTGTTGTCGGGGAGCTCATCCTCGACAGGAACTCATAAGGGGCCAGATAATCAGGAAGGGTATTGCTTAGTTGCCCAGTATCCTTGGGGAACTAAAGGTTACCCTTTGGGATTATGAAGGGAATATCATACCCCTAAAAAGGTCAAAGGTTGCCTACTCTACTACTAAGATTGTGGGTAAAGCGGACAGAGTCTGGTGTGCCGACAGTGAACACGAGAGTGATTTGTGCACTCAGTGAATGGAGTTAGTGACACAAACAGCGGCAGCTTGTCATGACGTGTGAAATAATGACTCGCTGTCACTGCAGTTTCGCGAGAATAAGTGGCAATTTTAGCCTTGACGTTGGAGTATGTCAGAGAGCCCAATACCCCCTTCATTAAGGAATAGATCTTAAACTATAGATTTATCTTTCTTATGGTTTAAGGTATACTCCTTACTTAAGGGGTATTTGGGCTCTTGGTTGGGCTGCTGATGCCACTGATCAAGAACCCGAGACGGACATGTCTGAAGGCAACGGGCAGTTTCTCGCGACGAAGTGTTGTGGGTAGGTTTGTACTGTAGTTCGACCACGGGCCTAAACCTAAATCCTAAAAACCCTATAAACCCTACAAACCATAAAAAATCACATAAGCCCTATGAACCCTATAAACCCTATAAACCGTGAACCCCAATACTGTTAGATCTTGTTGAAAGGTCCTCAAGGATCGTACAGTGCCGTCGGATCGACGCCCGTGTCATGTGGATCTTCAAAGTGTACCCTATGCCCCCTAAGCCCTAAACCCTAAACCCTAAACCCTAAACTCCTGTAGGCAGCACACGCTCACACGAAGGCTCAGCTTCCCGCATACAGCCTCCCGGGGCCACCGGTCACCTGGGAGGTTTTGCTGCAGATCTTTTGGATCCTTTCAGGGTTTAGGGTTTAGGGTTTAGGGCTAGTGTTAAGGGCAGAGGGGAGCATTTAGGGATGTTTAGGGTTTATGGTAGCATACACGTCACGACAGTCCTTTCTGTAGGGGGTTAGGGCTATATGAAAGTCGGGCTGTTGGTCGAGAAAGACAAGGGTGAACATCTGGCTCAAGGAGGAGAGGGGTTTGACCTACTGCTTCTTAGTAGGGAGCCAAGGATTTCGATACCTTATATCCCGCAATGATTGTCTACCCCTTCAGGGGTTCAATAGGGTACCTAATTCCCTCATTGCCGAAACCCCAAACCCCAAACCCTTGTTTTAACCCTAAACCCTAAGCCCTGAACCCCTAAACCGGTGTGAGGATCACCTAAAGCCTAAACCCTAAACCCTCAACCCTCAGGATCACAAGGTTGAGGACTATTTTTCTTCATACGGGCCCTCTTAAAGCAGGATTTTTGGGGAAGTTGGCGCCTACAGATTCCCTTAGCAACAGGCTATGCCGAGCGTAGGAACACCCTCAACCCCTATGCCCTAACCCTAAACCCCAAACCCAAAACCCTAAACTCCCCTTTGAAGAACTAGAACAAGCTTGCAGGGCTGGGACTTCCCTTTGTCCGAGCATGGACAGCGTTCAGGTGCGCTGCCGCGTTCTTCCCCAAAGAGCCCAGTACCCCTTAAACAACGGAATAGACGCTAACGTCATATTCAGGAGCCCTACATAATTAACAGCACATGGCTTACTTAAGGGGTATTGGGCTCTCTAGGCTTCTCTTCAAGATTTGTGAGGCATGAAAAGAGGCAGCTCTCGTCATCTCTTGCTGCTGGGTCGCGAAAGCGAACACCGCCACAAACTTGATGAAGTTGTTCATGGCCTGAGCTCTTAAGGGAGCCTAGGCTGCCCAGTAACCTAGGCTTAAAAAGGGTGCCCTTCTTTGCTTGAAGGGGTTTATAAGGGAAAGTAAACCCCCCAAAAAGGGAATAAGGGTACTACTGGGCAGCCTAGGAGTCATAGTCCTCTTGCACAGTGCTAGGCGGACCCCTTTCTAGGGTCGCATAAGACAGCCCATGCGCACCGTAGGCAACTCGCATTTGAGATGCCCTCCATTCTTTTGCAGGGTAGGAAGGCTGCGTTGCCGTCTGAGGCCAGTGCCGGACCGGTGGTATCCTCGAATGGTCCACCTGCTACACGTGCCCCCCCTTCCTCTGATATTGAACCCCACATGGTCGAACAGAATCCCTTTGAGGGTAAATGCGCATAGCACATCAACCCTAAACCCCGACACTGAATCTTGTCATGCTAATACCATGGGGAACAACTCTGGACTGTAGGTTATAGGGTCTAGGGGTATTCAGGTCTAGGGCCTAGGGGGGGGGGGGGGTAATGGCAACATCTGCCACAGCTATGTCGCGTCGCCCCACAACTTAAGATCTCATCTTGCTAACGAAGTTGCCTGAAAGCCAAGACTTGAGAGCTTCGGAGCTTCTGCGGCCCCAGTACTAAGGAGGTAAAAAGGGAAGCCAAAGCAATCGCCAACGCGAATGGCCCTAACTTGGACAAATCCTCCGATTCCGCCAAGCCCTGAACCTGAGACGAAGAACTCAATGCCGCGAGCCTTTGCGGCATGAGGCCTAGAGTACAAACCCTAAACCCTAAACCCTAGCCCTAAACCCTAAACCCTAGTCAAGGCACAGGGGCCCCCAAGCCCAATGGAGAAGCTTATCAGGACACCAAAGCCTTGAACCTCCCAGAGCCAACTCTCGCAGCCTATCGTCTCCCCAATGCCCAGGTTGGCATAGTGCGGAGAGTCCGGGCCTGCAAGCAGGGAGGGTTTAGGGTTTAGGGTTTAGGGTTTAGGGTTTAGGGTTTAGGGTTTAGGGTTTAGGGTTTAGGGCGGTTCCGGAGTTTAGATGGGATGCCAGTAGCAGCTTTGGGAAGTCGAAGTGCAGGCGCGCAGAAAAGATATCGAGCGCGAGCCTATGACATTGCCATCCTTGTCGCGCAGCAGGCCAAACAGCACAAACTTCCTGCATCAGGCGCCGCAATGCCGATTGCTAGTTCATGGTTGGGATATTAGGGTTTAGGGTTTAGGGGTTTAGGGGTTAAGGGTTTAGGGTTAAGGGTTAAGGGTTTAGGGTTTAGGGTTTAGGGTCAAGGGCTGAAGCACGTTGTTGGGCACAGGGTGGAGGGCTCAAGGGAAAACCCTAACTTAAGAACCCCGAACTTATTTTTTGCGGGTTACCTAAGAATCCTACCAGGTGTTCTATACTGAAACCTACTAAAAAGTAGGTTTGGGGTTCTTAGGGTTTTGGGTTTCTTTTTACCTACCATGAACACGCCTTCTTCAGGGTTTAGGGTTAACCTCAACCCTTTTGAGCAACGGACTTGGGGGGCTGCCGGCAAACAACCTCAACCCTAAACCCCAAACCCCAAACCCTAAACCCTAAACCCTAGTCCTGGCTGCGACCCACGACTGCCCCGAGTTGATCAAGAAGATGCTCAGGCACAGCACCAGCACGTTCGAGCCGGAGAGCATGAAGAGTAGCCCTGATGGCGAAGTGAACATGTAGGGTTTAGGGTTGCCGAGCTTGACATGCAGGTTCTCAGTGCTGGGCAGCCCTGGGGAGCTGCAGACGCCCTTGAGACCGTGGGTTGGTCTCTATGACCAGTGGGTTTAGGGTTTAGGGTTTAGGGTTTAGGGTTTAGGGTTTAGGGTTTAGGGTTTAGGGTAACAACTGGACTTCTTGGGATGGGTTTGAGAAGGGTGTTTTAAAAGGGTTTCAGTACGGCTTTGCTGGTAGTGACACGTGTTTACTTGGGTTTGAGTAGGGCCTAGTTCAAAGAGTTTTACTTTTGGGTTTTCGCAAGTTTTTTGATAGGGTTTACAGGGTGTAGGATTCTACTTGGGGTTTGCATAGGGATTAGGGCCCCTGACGTTGAAAAAAGAAAAACAGCGATTTCCGAATCAGCCCCGGAAGAGGGGCCCTGAATAGGGGATCCGAAGTGTGGGCCCTTAATTTGGGTCCCTTGTCATATAACCCCTACATACACTATGCATAAAAGGGGCCCATGTTTTCGGATCCCTATAAACAAGGGCAAGGGACCACACGAAGGGCCTAAACCCTAAACCCTAAACCCTAAACCCCAAACCCTAAAGCCCAAACCCTAAACCCTAAACCCTAAACCCTAAACCCTAAACCCTAAACCCTAAACCTGAAGCAGGGCCCATGGTTCCGAGCTTAGACTCAAGAGCCCTTCTCCGCCTTTCACTCCGAGAAAGAAGCCGCCGATCATCGGACAGGCCAGTGAGTTGATGATCGGAGAGATGGTCATCCTATGGTTTAGGGTAACTAGAGTTTGGGGTTTTTTTTTGCCACCCGACTGGCCAAAGCAATGCGGGGTAGAAAGTTGGAGTTTGGGGTTTAGGGTTTAGGGTTTGGGGTTTAGGTTCAGGTTTAGGGTTTGTGATAACTAGGGTTTAGGACAGCTAGGGTTCAGGGTTTAGGGTGAGAGACAGTCGGCTTCTAGGGTGGCCCTTAAGATACCTCTAACCCTAAACCCTAAACCCTAAACCCTCTGAAACCCAGTAAGGGAAAGTATCAAATATCCCAAAGGCCTACCTAGTAGGGTAGGCTTAGCACCCTGAAACCTTAACCACGAACCTTGAACCCTCAACCCTGAACCCAAAAATATACCCACCTAGGGCCTCCAGGACTGCAGGAGCTTTGGAGCTTCGGGGTTTAGGGTTTAGGGTTTAGGGTTATGAAGTGAATAAATGTACCCTTCCCCCGTCCTCATGGAAGTGATCGTCCCAAAGGACGCGAGCTTCTTCAGCGGTCGAACATGCGACCTGAGCAATGGCCGTGGCATGTAGCCCGCGAATCACCTCCTCTGCTCGACCGTCCTTGACCTAACCCTCAAGACCCCATCCTGCAAACCACAAAATTTCCTGAACCCTGAACCCTAAACCCTGCCTCCGACCCCTCCCCCCTCCCTCCCCCGCCCCCCCCGCCCGCCCCCTTACATTTTCGAGCTTAGACTTAGACTCCTGCTGGGGAACCCTCCCCCCCTACCTCCCTGAGCTAAGACTCCCGCTGGGGAAAAGGTAGCTGGGAGATCTTCCCGATGTCGTGCTGGGTGACGTACTTGGCAAAGGCCTGTGCGGTCGACAGGCCTCGGAAGGGCTGCCAACCCTAAACCCTAAACCCTAAACCCTAAACCCTAAACCCTAAACCCTAAACCTCAAACCCTAAACCCCAAACCCTAAACCCTAAACCCTAAACCCTAAACCCTCAACTTCGGCTTCGAGGCTTCGCCTAGGTCTCTATTTGGAGGTTCATGGGCAAGTACAGGTAGGTTATCAGTAACCCCCAAACAGGGTTATAAGGATAGTTGCCATACTTATCACCCTACTTGTAACTACCCATGAACCTCCAAGTGAGGGATTATGACCGTAGAACAAATAAGACCCCCTAAAATCCCTAAATGACTATATCTGTACAGGGACAAGGCATAAGGGGATAATCTTTGTGTGATTTTTTAGGAATTTTAGGAGGGGGCCGGGCCAGGCGGGTGCGGGTGTTTGGGGCAGCAGCAATCAGAGCAGCACGTATCCTCGGGTAGGGAATAGTGACAACAGCAATCAGAGCAGCCTTTGTCAAACCCCAAACCTCAAACCTCAAACCCTAAACCCCAAACCCCAAACCCTAAACCCTAAACCCAGCTGCAACCGCGGTAAGTGTAGCTCATTGGGGATGTTCTGTAGCTGCGCACTCGTGCGGCTCAGAGCATGAATGGGTATATGCCACACTTGTTGGGTTTAAGGCTTGAACCCTGAACCCTAACCCTGAACCCTGAACCCTGAACCCTGAACCCTGAACCCTGAACCCTAAACCCTAAACCCTAACCCTAAACCCTAAACCCTAAACCCTAGCAGTTCAGCTTCATTGGTAAGACAATCCGGGTTTGTGCCTGCATCGCGTCAAGAAAAGCCACATGGGTTAATTTTTCCACATTCGGGTCCGTTTTAGGGTCCTTCTTATACGGGTGCCGCAGTATACAGGGAACCCCCCAAAAGGGACCCTAATTTAGAGGACTACCCGCATGTGCGACCTTCGGGGGGAAGGCAATCCTGAGCGCGCCGCATGAGATCATGGTGTTGGCCGCGAAGGCAAAGGTCATCACCACGCCCAGCACCAGCCCGGCTTGGCCTTAGCTCTTTACTTTGGCTGCGGTTTAGGGTTTAGGGTTTAGGGTTTAGGGTTTAGGGTTTAGGGTTTAGGGTTTAGGGTTTAGGGGTTTAGGGTTTAGGGTAGCAGAAATAGCCGAGTCCGACCCCCCACCACCTGCCAAAGAACTCGGGGACCACACTTCAGTTCGAACGCGCGTGATGGGAAGGGGGGGGGAGAGCTTGAATGAAAAAAAATCTCCGGGTTTTATAGGGGACAATTCTGGCAACTATGTAGGCTCCTGGGATTTCGAGCACTTGGGCTCAGACACTGTAATCCTAACTTAGCTTTGGAGTAGACCCTGGAAAAAAAAGAGTATATACTTTTTAGGTAATAAGTAGCAATAGTAGGAACCCAGAACCAAAAAAAGAAAGTACAGTACTCCAAAGCCCAGCTAAACCCTCACCCAAACAATGGAAGGGCGCAGGGTTTCGTTGAGGGGTCTGTTGGAGCCCTCATATGGAGCCCTCTAGAACTTCACAGGGCCCGGCTCCGTCTATAAGAGCCCATATATTGCCCTAGATACGTCCCCGGCCCAATAAGCCTTGATTGAGGAAACGGGGGCCCCTTGCACCTCGCGGTCGTTCCTTATGAGGTTGGGGGTGGGACTTGGGATTTCATGTATGGTAGGATGCCGGGTTTAGGGTTTAGGGTTTAGGGTTTAGGGTTTAGGGTTTAGGGTTTAGGGTTCCGGGTTCAGCGGTCTTATTTTGGGGTCCAAGGCTCTGAAGCTGGATAGGATGGAGCCAGTGACGTTCATGTAGTTGATGTCCAACTCTGTGTACGTCTGTGCCAGTAGTGTCAACGCGATGTTGAAGACGGCCTGAGATGCAAGTCTCGTGGACCCCAATGAAGCCCACGTGACAACAACTGCAAAAAGAGAGGCCCTTGCTACCTAAACCCTTTTGACCCCGCGAGCTCTGCCGGGTTTCCAACCTAAACCCTAAACCCTAAAGCCTAAAACCCTTGGAGCACAGACTGGTCGTCTTAATGGTGCCTACTTGCTTAGACCATCCTTTCAAAGGACCTAAGGGTTTAGGGTTTAGGGTTTAGGGTTTAGGGTTTACGGACTAAGAACCTCAAAGTTAAGACATGCTTTCGACCCACGCGCAGAACCAACGTGGCGGAGATGCACTGAAAGCATTCACCGCAGAGATGGTGTTCCCCGCATGGGCGGTCGTATCCTCCGATGCTGGGATCTGCTTCTACAAAACTAGAAGAACCTGCAGAATCAATACAAACGACCCCCTAAAAGGTATGAAAAACATGATCCTTCTCTCTCCGACAACTCGTTCACGAATCCCATGTGCTACATTTCGGGGCCGGTAGAATGTCTTAGTCTTTCCAAACCAGAAAAGTAAACCACCAAAGTCCCCAACAGCCCGCCCCCCCCCCCCCGCCCGGACCCTTTTTGAACCCTTTGCCCTAGACCCTCAACCCCTCCTTAACACTACGATGCAGGTGCCGTACTTCGTTCGAGCTTGGGAAGCCTACAGTCTCTGTATACTGTGAGGGGATCATATTGAATACTCTCAGGGCTCCCTTGTATTCTAGGGACGATGATGAGGGTTTAGGGTTGAAAGGTGTGAGGGTTTAGGGCTTCGGTCTAAACCCTGAACCCTAAGCCCTAAACCCTAAAACCCTAAAACCCTAAACCCTAACCCTAAACCCTAAACCCTAAACCCTCTCCCCTGTATTCTAGGCCCTCTAGGCCCTAAGTCTCATGGTGCTAAGATGCGCCCAAGGCTGCGCAGATGTTGGCCCGATGGCGGCTCATCGCGTGGTAGGTGGTGAGATGGATGATCTGCACCAGGGGGCGAGGGTTTAGGGTTTAGGGTTTAGGGTTTAGGGTTTAGGGTTTAGGGTTTAGGGTTTAGGGTTTAGGGTTTAGGGTTTAGGGTTTAGGGTTTAGGGCTTAGAGAAACCCTAGGCATGACCCGTTTGAACCTTCAGCTCGTGCTCGACCTAAAGAAGCAGAGAGATTGACCTTTGGGCTTCCAAGGGGGTTTGTTGTACCCAAACGAGTTACACACTCCGAGCCGCAAACGAGGTTCGAAGGCTTTTTACTCTACTCCCCTTAGAACCTTAATAAAAAAACAACATTTTGTACTATCCTCTTGGGGTTTAGATAAACAAAAATGCAAAAATGATTCCCAAGGGCGATGTAGTATATAGTTCACTCTTCCCCAAGAAAATGGGAGCATGTCTCTCTACCAAAAGCAACCTCTTGAAGTTCAGCTCTTGGCGCGAAGCAAGCAGGGCTTTGGAGGTTCAGAATGGCGCGAGATCCTCATAAGCCCTCTACAACACGCCCTAAACCCTAAACCCTAAACCCTTAACCCTAAACCCTAAGCCCTAAACCGCTGCTCTGAAAGAAACGCAAGTGCAGGCACCTTGTGGGCATTGGTGGCGATCGCGCCAAAGGATGCGATCCCACCCTGGAAGCCTCAGAGGGTTTACGGGGTTTAGGGGTTCGGGGTTCAGAGGGCAGAGGGTTCAGGGTTAGGGTTTAGGGTTTAGAGTTTGATTAGAGGATTTAGGGTTTCAGGGTTTAGAGGGTTTAGGGTTTTGGGGATTTGGGTTTGTCCATTCTGGGGGGCCCCCTCAGGTGGGCTTTTTCAGCCATATTTAGGGGGGAATTGACGCCCTAAAACCCCAAGCGCTACAGAAGCCCCAAACCCACAAGCCTTTTGAGCCCTGGCTCGCTGAGGTGCCAGCGCGTAAACCTTAAACCCTAACCCATGTCTTGCGAAACCTTTCCCCCTAAACCCTAAACCCTAAACCCTAGACCGTCGAAGCCGAATACTTTGGGAGCCAGGCCCGCTCCTGCGAGCTTCAGCAAACTATGTGCTCCTACATTTCGCGGAAAATAGATTCATTGCTATATGCTGTACTAGAATGCCATTGAATTCATATATAACGATGCAAGTGGCTACTGGCAATTTTAAGACGCGGGCTCCTTGAAACCGTTCGGGGTCCTGACTCTTTCGGCACCTCGCTACACGCAGGAGCCGATCCGAAACGACCTGGTCCTCTCTTGTCCAGTGGCCCGTGCCACTGACCGAAGATGCGCTCAAGAGCGCCAAGCCATAGTGCTGCTCCAGCCGCCACGTGGCCACCTCACAATGAGTCAACCCTACCCTCAACCCTCAACCCTCAACCCTAAACCCTAAACCCTGACCCTAAACCCTAGACCCTAAGAGCTATGTCAGCCATGTGATAGAGCCGCACCAAGGAGGTCAACCACAGACCAGGCCCCTTTCCGAGATCCGTGCCACGCAGGTGATGATGACCACCGCTGGCAGGCCTGGCAGCGAGCCTACAGCCGACGGACTCCTGAACCAAGCCCAACTCAGAAACCCAAACCCTTAGCCCCAAACCCTAAACCACTATCTGCTTAAGAACCCCCCCAAAAATAAAAAAATAATAATCACTAGGTTATCCTTATAAGGAAGAATCCATTTTTCATATTTTGGGGGGTTCTTAAGCCCCCAGAAACCTAAACCCCAGAACCCTAAACCTTGTCGAACCGGGCATCGTCGTAGTGCAAGGTGATGTCGCAAGGGAATATGCAGATATGTCTGTCAATAAAAATATAGATCAATACATCTACGCATGAGGATTGATAAATACTATGGGCTTTATGTGGGTCACAGTCAAGGACCTATACCTTCGATCCCTTCCCACGTGAGAATGCAGCACGCGTATGTGTGGATCAGCACACAGGAACGTTGGACAGACCAATCCCTTGCAAACACTGAGCAGGCAAGACAGGTAGCTCTCGTAGTAGATACACACAGAAAGTATGTTGGCAACTCACCATCTTTATGGCTTGTCGGGTGAGCTTGCTATTCTCAGCTCAAGCTAGGGCACCCTGCCTGTCGAGAAGAAGCCCTGGCCGAAACCTGCAAGCAGCTCAAAGTGCCCAAGGGTTTAGGGTTTGGGGTTTGGGGTTTAGGGTAAGGCTGCTCAGCAAGCAGACGTGGCAGGAGCACGTGCGCGAAGCTTCATGATTGATGGGGAGAAGCTGATGCACCGTCCCTGTGCAAAATACATACCCGTCTCTCATGAATACAGCTTCCTGCATGCGACCCTGAAGCCACACTGGCCAAGCCCCTGGCTCCAAAAAAGGCCTCCTCAACCCGGAAGGTTTTTAGGGGTTTAGGGGATTAGGGGTTTAGGGGTTTAACACCCTCACCCGCATGGGGTTTTTGAGGATTATATAGGGTTCATAAAGGCCCGACACCCTCGCGCCTTGGAGGACGACCTGTACAATCCCAAGGTCTGCATTCATCGCCAGAGATCGCACGGGTGAGTAGTCGGTGGAGGTGAAATACTCGCCTCTGCATCTTAGGGTTTAGGGTTTAGGGTTTAGGGTCGAAAGCACGGAGAAAACCTCCCCGGCGGTATTTGCATTGCATGGCCGTCAAAGCCTGAGTCTTTGCCGCCCCAAGCCCTATGCTGAGTTGTGCTTTGGAACCCTTTTGCACATTAATATGTCAAAGCACAACCCAGTCATATACATCCCACATCCTACAACCTAAACCCTTTTGCCTGGTTTTAAACCCTAAACCCTAAACCCTGCAGCCAGGAGACCGCAAAAACGAACAAAAATCACGACCTGCCCTCAAAAATACTCTCCCGTAGCCGTGGGCTGCAGCTCCGGCGCCCAAAAGGACGCAAACCTCCGGGATGACTTGGCCCATCAGCCTTGCGTTTAGGGTTTAGGGTTTAGGGTTTAGGGTTTAGGGTTTAGGGTTTAGGGTTTAGGGTTTAGGGTTTAGGGTTTAGGGTTTAGGGTTTAGGGGTTAGGGGTTAGGGGTTTAGGGTTTAGGGTTTAGGGTTTAGGGTTTAGGGTTTAGGGTTTAGGGTTGAGGATGTGGGGGATTGACATCACCCAGGAGGAATTGCGACATCATAGAATCATAGAGACTCAAACCTCGAGGGAATAAAGCCCACAGAGCCCCAGCTTTACAACAAGTCCTCGGAATAAACCCCAGAAAAAGGGGATGGACGAAGCCAAAGGGGCTCAGGATTTGGGGTTCAGGATTTAAACCCTAAACCCTAAACCCTAAACCCTATAGGCTCCTGAGCCGCTGGGACGCTTCATGTGGGATGTGCCGTTGGGATGCTCACCCTTCTACGAGCAGTCCTTCATAGGGATTCTAGAAGCCCCCTTTGTAGGGTTTAGGGTTTAGGGTTTAGAATCCCTATTGAGGACTGTTAATGTAACGGGGAGCATCCCAAGATTTGTGGTTTGAGGCCGCTGCTTCACGCTGCGGGGGGGCCTGGGGTTAAGGTGAAGATCGGGTTTAGGCTTTAGGTCGGGGGGCTAGGCTAGGGCGCGAACGATTGCTGCATCGGCCTGTTATCTAATACTTTAGGGTTTAGGGTTTAAGCCCTACACCCTCCAGCATAGGCACGAGATGATGCAAAAGTGCCAGAAGCGGTCGAATGAGATCGTCCCCACCAGATACTCCTGGAGGCTGCTCCCAAAGAGACTAGGCGTCCCACAAGCGCCCCAGAAACAATGCCACTCCACCTCCCCCCCACAAAACAAGAATCATGCACAGCGGAGGGAGGTACTAGACATCCCCGCAAGCCCCACAAGCCCCCCATGCTCCTGAAAGCTCACGAGAATCTGTACCTGAAACGGGGCTTGCAAGGACAGTCCCGTCTCTCTCTCTCTCTCTGTCTGTCTCTCTCTCTCTCTCTCTCTTTCTCTCCCGAGGGTGTGGGATATAGGGTCTTTTTTTCCCACCCGTGTCGCAAGCGTTTACGGGGAAAGGTCTGAGACATATTGGAGCCCAAGTTCGGAAAAACGGGATGGCTTTGATCAGGCCCCAGGGCTGTTCCTTGGGATTTAGGGTTTTAGGGTTTAGGGTGACTACGGTTTGACCCTGCTGCACAGCTGGGGCGAATCTATGTCGCAGGGATGATTAGGATTAAGGGTTCAGGGCGGCGCTGTCTTCGGTACCTGAGCAACTACTTTGGGTCTTATGCACGGGCCTTAAGAATCGATTAGGGTTTCTTAGGTGTCCAGTAACCTAGAGGAACTAAATGTTAACCTTTGGGAATTTATAGGAATGATGCTACCCCAACAAGGTTACAGGTTATCTACTCTACTGCTAGGGTTTCGGGCCAGCCCGATGGAGAAGTACAAAGTTGTCAGAAGGCAATCCTGCAGCATCGCACGGCTCAGGGGCAGCGGGCGCTCGGGATACCCTACAACCCTAAACCCTATAAACCCTAGACCCCAGACCCCAAATCCTAGACCCTAGGCCTAGACCCTAAACCCTAGACCCTAGACCCTGAACCCTAAACCCCAGACCCTGGACCCTAGGGGGGGAGGGGGGGAGGGGGGGGGGGGGGGGGGCGGGGGGAGGGGGGGGGAGGCGCTAAGATGGACCCGACAGGGCCGAAGCCTAGACCAACGAGGAAGGGGCTCCTGGGCCCAACCCTCCATGCTACTGACAGTCCTTTACAGGGACTATAATGGGTTTAGGGGGCTTAGGGTTTAGGGTTTCGGGTTTAGGGTTTGGGTTTAGGGGTACCAGAATCCCTATTGAGGACTGCTAGTATACGGGGGACATCCCAAGTGTTTTGGGCTTTCAGAGCAGCACCGGTTTCGGGTTCAGGGCTTTCGGCTTAGGGCTTAGGGCTTAGGGCTTCCCTAAACCCTAAACCCTAAACCCTAAACCCTAAACCCTAAACCCTAAATTCTAAACCCTAAACCCATAGCATCATCAACAACACAGAACAGAAGCCAACCCCCAAGGCCCTGCAAGGACTTCCGATGCCCAAGCCGCCAGCTGCACCAAGCCGATGACGAGCAGGAGGTTAGCCTTCGTTATCTTCAACGCAGGAGTTCTACCACATTTAAATACTATTTGCCCCCCCCCAAAAAAAAGAAAAAGGAGAAAGCGTACTAATTCATTCCTATATTTCCCTAATAAGGAGGAAAGATTTTCGAATTTGGGTGGTGAGAAACAGCCCTGTTAGCTTGGGAAGCTTGGTGTTGCGGTTTACCTTTTCGTACTTGGGATTGGGCTTCTCTGCGACCGTAGGGTTTCAGATGCTTGGCGCTGCCTGTGATTCCCAGCTGAGGTTTCCTTAGAACCGACTGCCGAGCTTACCATTCCACCCGAACGAACACCAACTACACATACTTGAGATACAAGCCATCAGTATCAGCACCATAGGACTGAGGCACATGGCGGAAAGCGAGCTGATTGAAGGTGCGGATGAGTGTTTCTGGACACGCCGACATGTCCGAGATGCCTGTACCACCCTCTAATTTGCACACCCCAAACCCTAAACCCTAAACCCAAAAGGAGGCGAGGGGCCCGGAGGCTCCACCTCATCCGCTGCGCCGTGAAGCGCTCGTGGACGTGGACGAAGTAAGCCACCAAGGAGCAGCCCACCTCATGGGACTGAGGAAAAGGGTTTAGGGTTTAGGGTTTAGAGTTAGGGTTTAGGGTTTAGGGTTTAGGGCTTAGGGCTTAGGGTCTAGGGTTTTGGGTTTTTGGGGGGTTAGGGTACCCTCAATCACCTCAAGCTAAGAAATAGTCAACCCACCCCTTGAGCATAGTCGACGCCAACACGCTGAAAGACCGACACTTCTCGCCAAGACTCGTGCTGGAGGAGACAGGTCCAAACTCAAAGCAGTCTTCAACCCTTGTGCACAAACCCTACAGCCGGAAACCCCTTTTTGCATCCAGGCCTCGTAACGACTGCCGTGCCAGAAACCCCTAAACTCCAAAACGCTTCGGGATGTTGGACTTTTTGCGGGCCTTGAAAGCTTGGGTGTGGCTTTCTTTGAAGGCAGAGCTTATCGTTGCTATGCCGACACTACTATACCTTCCCCTTAACAACGCGAATCGCACGAACACTAGTTAACAATACACAGACCCAACATGCAGAAAAGAACAAAGAAACATTTCCTAAGCAAACTATAGAGACACACCCGCACCCGAAAGTTCCATTCCCAATTTAGACATAGCAGGCAATTGCAAGCTCGCTGCCTCTCCGCTCAGTTGCACTGAGCATCAAAACTTTTGGGCGTATAGGAAACTCGTCCTCCCTGCCGCGCTGTACAATAGATAAGCTAGATGGTATGGAAGATAATGCCAACCCATCAAACCCTATAACAGGAGTGGGTCCCTCACAAAATCCGAAACTAAGACCCTCAAACGGGAACTACGAACGCGGCTGACAGTTCCACAACGAAGGCAAAACGCAAAGGCATCCCATGAGACCATGCGAGGAAGTCGGAGTAGCAAACTCGAAGCGACAGCCGTGGCTTGTTTTTCCGGGGCTCGCCGCTCAACCGGTAGCCACCCTGAACCCTAAACCTGGAGACAGCGGCTGTTGACTTTTGCCAACCCTCCAATAGTCCCCCTTGAACACCGGCTAAGTTCGTCCTTAGGAATGCTTGCAGAAAGGATCCTCATAAAGCATCTTATATGAGGAAACAAAGAGACGATGTTTTGACGCACTTGGGGGCCCACATCTAACCAAAAAAACTCTCGAGTCTCACCTGCGGCCCCTAAAAAAGGCATGCAGTGACCCCCTATGCTAACAACCCCCCCCGCCCCCCCCTCCCCGGGTTGGGAGCGGAGTTTAGGGTTGAGGGTTTAGGGTTTCGGGTTTGGGGAGAGTGGGGATTGAGAGGGGTGGAGGTCGGGGTTATAGCGACCATGAGTTGAGAGGGAGATTTCGCGGCCTTTCCCCCTTTCAACCGGACGTCCCAAAGCCTAACCTCCCTAAACTCCCCTAAACCCTAGCCCTAAACCCTAAACCCTCAACCCTAAACTCTAAACCCTAAACCCCAAACCCTAACTCTCCAACGGGGGAGGGCTCCCACCTTGCCGGAGGCGATGATCCAGAAGGGAAGGCCCGAGTTGAAGGAGGGAACCTCTCTCTCAACCCTGAACCCCTCGGTTTAGGGTTTAGGTTTAAAGTTTATGGTTTAGGGTTTAGGGCTCAATCTCTGTCTACCTAAACCCCCCTTAAACCCTAACTCTCATAACTTTTTCTCCCGAAAGACTCATGCCCTTTCGCACTACACCCCTTTCGCATCCAGGCCTATGAGGCTGCGCCTGCTCAAGCAACATCTTTGGGTTTAGGGTTTAGGGGTTAGGGTTGAGGGTTTAGTGTTTAGGGTTTAGGGTCCTAAAAATGTGAGCCCTAAATCCGGCTTGAGGGTGTGTTCGCTCATGGCTGCTCTTTTCTCCTGGCTCTGGCTTAAGCTGGCTTAAGCCCAACTTGTAGGGTGTAGTTAGGGTGGCTGGGGGTTGAGTCTGGCCTTGCATATAGAATTTAAACCTAGTCCAGCTTGGGAATCAAAAGGGTTTAGGGTTTTTTGTTGCCTCCAGCCAGGGTTGTTTTCAGGGTTTAGCATCCCGCGTAGCCTGCATTGAGCTGCTGGAGGAGCTATGTGCAACTCGTGCAATTCTGATGGCCGGACGAAGTCCAAACCCTAAACGCTCAAACCCTGAACCCTAAACCCTAATCCCTCTCTCTATCCAAATCCCGGAATCTGCGGCGAGGTGCCGGGCTGCCCTTGACCCCGATGATGGTGCAGGTGCCCAGGATCAGCACCTTGCAAGCCCACAGTACGCATATTGCAATAAGGGTACCCTTTTTGGGGTTGGTTTCTTTAGAACGGATCCTTGAACCAAAAAAAGAGCAATTGGTAGCCCAGTACCCATATTATAATAAGCGTACCCTTTTTTTGGGGTTGGCTATTTTATAAGGGCACCTTGAACCAAAAAAAGGAACCATATTGTGATAAGGGTACCCTTTTTGGTTTGGTTACTTTAGAAGGGAACCGCCCAGTAACCACATTATAATAAGGGTACCCTGTTTTGGGTTTGGTTAATATAGGGTCGGAATACTTACTAATAGTATGCCCTTATGGTCCCTATATAATGATAGCATGATAACCCTCAACCCTATGCGAATTATTTAGGCCCTATGTTACTTTATCAGGAACCTTGAACCCAAAAAAGGGGAAAAAGGGTACCTATTCTCCCCTTAGAACCTTAATGATATTTTTTCTTAATATCCTCTTGGGTGTTTATGTAAACAAAAGCAAAAGACAATTCCGAAGGGGGATATAGGTACCTTGAACCCTAAAACCTAAACCCTAAACCCTAAACCCTAAACCCCCACAAAAAAGGAAAATCAAGGCACCATGGATTCGAAGAGGTCGGCACAGGTTCCGGAGACGTCGTTGATGGCCTGCGGAAGGCTTCAAAGCTTCACAGTGTGAAGTGCAACCTCCTTGGATCTAGGGTTTAGGGTCTAGGGTTACCTTCTTGGGTTTAATCGCTCGCACTCGGACAAGCCAGGCGAGGGTTTAGGGTTTAGGGTCCCAAGGGCTCAGGGATTTCGGAGCACGAAAAATCACCGACGACGCGGCACTCACAACCGACTCGCATCCCAGCACCCCCCTTGGGATGGCTTTGGTCTTATGGTTTAGGGTTTAGGGTTTAGGGTTTAGGGTTTTTATAAGCCAGAGATGCTTTGAGTCTGGCTTTCTCGAGACCGCAGTCACTCGTTCAAACGCTCTATGGACAAAGTCGTGAACCCAGAGAGCCCAAGACTCGACCCCTACCTAACATCACATGAAGGATACCTATTAACCTGTATACTTTAAGGTATCCTCCTTGTTTAAGGGGTGTTGGGCCTCTTTGTGAATGAGCTGACCCACCGGACCAAGTTTCGATGACTCTGGCCTCTCCAACTACGTCGAAGTAGTCGATGGGGTGAAGCTGCGAAGCGATGTCTTGCATCTCTTCCTGCTTTCGAGGGTTCAAAGGGTTCAAAGGGTTTAGGGTTTAGGGCCCCTGCTTCAACACATGGGTAGCTCTCCACATTAGGATCTCTTTTGGGGTCGTTCTTTCGAGGGTGCCGTGCTATACGTAAGACTCCAGATTTCAGAGAACTACCCACATGAACCCGGCCCAGTCTTAAATGCTGAAGCTTGACCCTGCATATACGCACACATGTTCTCTGCATACGCATATCTCCATATCCCTAAGCCAACCTCCATCCGTCGCAGGTCGGCCATCCTCGGCAGGTGCTTAGGAACCTTCGGCCCCTCTAGGCTGCTAGCACGACTTGTGCCGGAGGACATAAGGTCTTATAAAAAACAAGTGCTGTGCTGGGGTTTGGGGTTTGGGGTTTGGGGTTTGGGGTTTGGGGTTTGGGGTTTGGGGTTTAGGGTTTAGGGTTTAGGGTTTAGGGTTTAGGGTTCAGGAGCAGCAGTTGAGCACCAGTTGCTTTTGCAAAGAACTACTTAGCCCAAGGTACATGTCTTCGTCGTCGCCTTCCAGTCCTTGTTTGGCTCGCTGTTTCCGATCTTCCTGAGGAAATGCATCCTAAACCCTTTTTGAGCACGGACTGAGGACATTTTTTAATCCTGAACGGCTCGGTCTCTGATGTTGAAGAGCTCTAGGGGCGGCAGGGTTCTAGCGCGACCTGTTGCATGTATGTCCTAAACCATCATTTCCACCAGGACTCTTGGAACCCGGGGACTGAGGGTTTGGGCTTATGTTTTAGGGTGGAGGGTTCCCCTAAACGCAGCCGCTCAACACCAGATACACTTCCTAAGCCCTTGGCAGCATGATCGGGCGTTGTGGGGCAAGTGCAGTTGGGCCGCATTTCCCCTCAGAGACATGTTCCTGAATGAACTCCTCTAATGCACGCCCTGAACCCAACTCTGGGGAAATCGGATATATTTCGAGGGCCTTCCTAAAGTATCATAGCAGAAAGGTCACGGCCAACAGCTGCTGCAAGCAAAGTCCCTGACCCTGCACAGCACGAACCTGCAACCATAGGACACTACAAAGATCAGTTAAAGCCCTTTTGAGCCGGAACCCTTTAACCCTACTAAGAGACCCCAAAGCCCTAAACCCCAAACCCGAAAAACCGAAAAACCGAAAAACCGAAAACCCCAGAACCCTAAAACCCTAAGATAATGAAACCCTAAAACGCTAGAACACTAGAGCATTTAACACTCTAAAACTAAACCCTAAACCCTAAACCCTAAACCCTGAACTCCTAAATCCACGCCTCCAGTTCCGCCATCTTCTTCTGAAGCTCGAAGAGGCGTTGGTCTTCTTCCATCCGGTTCTGCTCCATGTCGCCTGAGCTATTTCGGGTGAATTTGGGGTTTAGGGTTAGGGGGTGTGCCCAGGGGTTTAGGGTTTATACGGGTTTAGGGTCTGTAGGGCTTAGGGGCTTGATTAGGGGCTTAGGGTTTGGGGTTTTAGGGACACTCCGAACCTACGCTGTGTTTCTGTAGGCTGTTGCTATGAAATCCTTTCTATGACACCCTATCGCAACCTGCAAGAAGATCTGGTCAGGTTTGGCGACGGATAACGTAAGGACTTAGGGAGTTAGGTGTCTGATATTCCCCTCTGTCTTCCCATGTCTGGGATTCTATAGGGAACCAAACTAGTACTTACTTCTTCAACAATATCCAAGGACCTACTGTAAGGACGAAAAATGGTTGAACCTCATAATTCCTACAAACTACAAACTAAGGAAACCCCAAACAGGTTCAAGTTCAAGCGCTGGCTAAGTAAGCATAGGGTTTAGGTTTAAGGTTTACAGTTGAGGTGCTTGGAAGTCCATGGGTAGTTATAAGTAGGGTTCTGATTATGGTACTTATACTTCTAACCCAACTTCAGGTACTTCTAACCCTACTTTTAACTACCCATGAACCTCACGGATCTGTGGTGCCAGAAGCTCGGCAAGGCTTAGGGTTCACCCATGTCCTCAAGTCCGGGTTTAGGGTTTAGGGTTTAGGGCTTAGGGCTTAGGGCTTAGGGTTTAGGGTTTAGGGTTTAGGGTTTAGGGTTTAGGGTTTAGGGTCTAGGGTTTAGGGTTGAGGCTGCTGCCGCAGCACTGACGAGATCTGCACCTATGTCGGCTCCTTTCGAGAAGATGCCGCCGCCCACGCGCATGGAGAACGACACCTTGGTCGGTAAGTGGCTTTGAGTGATATCTACAGCTGCGAACTGCTACTAGTTCGTACTGCTACACTGCTGCAGATCTTGGTCATGCTGTATCAGCAGGGATGTATTTGTGCCAGGCAGCAATCGAAGCCCCCGAGCCAAAGCCAGACAAAGACAGAGTGTCCTAGCATGGCTGAGAAGCGACAAGTCTGCTTTGTCGCGCATGGCTCTCTGCCAAGCCAGAAAGTGGAAACCCTAAACCCTAAACTCTAAACCCTAAACCCTAAAGCGGCAACTTCGAGTCGTGATGTCCTGGATGAGCAGCCACATGCCAGCCATGCCTGCGCAGGGGATGCGTTTCAAACAGTACCTCAACTAAAACCATGAACGTTTAGGGTTTTGGGTTTAGGGTTTAGGGATACTTGCAACTCCTTCTCTTGGGCTGCACTGACCAAGGAAGTCTCGAACCCCTTACCCGGAGGTTCATGGGGGTAGTTAGAAGTAGAGTGATAACTTATATGTACCCTAAGTGCCCCCACGCCTCCAAGGGCCAGGGACGTCGCCAGCAGCCCTCCGATCGAGCCAGTCCTGGTGTTCGGGGTATAGGCCGTTCGACGGCTGGATTCGGATATCGGGATTCATCCAATTTGCACACCACTTTTTTGGGGGCTCTTACAAAGCCTAGGATACCCAACAGCAACCATTGTTGAGGTTCACCTGGCAAGAGCCAGCCAGTCCTCGAAACATTCGGCTTTGATTTTTGGGTGCAGCACAATAGCAGTAACCCCCAAAGTGGGACCGAAATCCGCGGCCCTATACCTTCATAGGAGTTATGTTAGTATAGGGTAGATGATACTAAGTTTGAGGGTCTATTTGGCCCCCATCCTGGAAAGCAGAGTTTCGGGGCTTTAGGGGGCGCTTCGAAACTACCCTGAGCCAAGCCAACAACCCTGAGCCAACCCTTGACCCAACTTACCAAAACCCTATAGACCCAACCATCCTAAACAACGCTAACCTCAATTACCCTAAACCTCCCAAAAGGGCTCCCTAAACCCTAGAAATACCCAACTCCCCTAAACCCTAAACCCTAACCCTAGAACTACTAAATCCAGTCACCCTAAACCCCAAAAAAGGGTTCCGTAAACCCCCCAAAGGCCCTCCGAAGTCCAAGCTTTTCTGGCCGGAGCCTGACCCCTAAACCCTAAACCCTAAACCCTAAACCCTAAACCCTAAACCCTAAACCCTAAACCTTTTACCTTTTAAACCCTAAACCCTAGGAGCCTGATCCCGATCTGCAGGGCGTCGAAGAGCTCCAGACCCAGCCTCGCTTAGGCAGCCAAAAACTTTCCTTTGGGCTTTTGTTTGGGGGGTTGGGGGGGGGGGGGTTCATTGGGTTTGGGAGTTTGGGGGTTTAGGAAGGGTTTTTGGGTTTTTTAAGTTTAGGGTTTTAGGGTTTGAGGTTTTAGGGTTTTAGGGTTTAGGGTTTTAGGGTTTTAGGGTTTCAGGGTTTCAGGGTTTGAGGGTTTTAGGGTTTTAGGGTTTAAGGTTTTGAGGGTTCGGAAACCTCCAACAGGCGCCAAGTTTCGCGTGTGCCAGACGCGTCTGCCCCTGCACAGTCACGCTGACACCGACCTGGGCCTGGGCGGCACAGAGTTTAGGGGGTTTAGGGTTTAGGGTTTGGGGTTTAGGGCGAGGGTTTTAGGGTTTAGGGTTTAGGGCTTAGGGTTCAGGGTTTCGGGCGAGGGTTTTAGGGTTTGGGGCGTAGGGCTTAATCAGGGTTTAGGGGGCTACGAGTGTGGTAATTATGCTAACCCCATTTAGGGTGATATAGCCCTAACTACCTAGGGGGGGGGGGCTTTTATTTGATGAGAAAGATTATAATTTCGGGAAATTTGGGGGACCCCTGTTTTCGGAAACAGCCTGAGGGGGGACTCGGAATTAACCTTTGGGAGGAATTACATGGGGCTCGGGGTTTGTTTAAGGACGCCGAAAGTCTGACAGAAGGTCCTCGACTGCGATGGAACTCGTCAGTTGTTGCATTGGGGGTGCCATAGATACAGGGGGGGGGGGGGGGGGGGGGGTTGCTTTACATCAAGGACACACAGGGACTGTCATTGGGGCATTTCCCGAAAAATAGGGGCACCCGTCTATATACATCATGTACAGCACAATCGTCGTTATTACAAGGATCCCCAAAACAGGTCACCCAAATGTTGGAAACCCCCCATTCAAAAAACAGCTTTAGGCATTGTGCAATCCTGACGCCCCAAGTCCTAAAGATGCCTTGCATGTAGGGCTGAGTAGAATTTCAAGCTGGGAGCACAAGGGCCTTCAAGCCATGCATCCTTCTGGAAACTCTGAAGCAAGTTGCCATACCCCTGAACGTTTGAATTCTGGAGTCCTGGATGAACCCTAAACCCTAAACCCTAAAACCTAAACCCCAAACCCTAAACCCTAAACCCTAGAAAAGCGGTCTCGCAGACTGCACTTTCTCGCCCTGAGCTCCCCGCGCTCAGGAGGTTCAGCGCCGCGCCGACGGCGAAGCAGGCGACCGCCCGAGGGCCCGCTGTGCCCATGACCTTCAGCGGCTTCGAAGCTGCTTTTAGGGTTTAGGGTTTAGGGTTTATAATTTAGGGTTTGGGGTTTGGGGTTTGGGGTTTTAGGAGCATGACCTTCAGCGGCTTCGACACGAAGAGATCCAAGCTCTGCTTCTTAGTTGCCAGGTTTAGGGGGTGGTTACACGCTTTTTTGCCAAGGATGTTTGACGTTTACGGAACAAGACACGCAGCTACCAGCGTTCATGCCGCGAAGATCCCAAACACTGGCGGATTTCAGGTTTGGGGAATCCCCCCCCGCCTCTCCCCGATTGTCAATATTTACCGGCCGACGCGAATTCTAGAATTACCGGGGAGGGGGGGTTTAGTATTAGGGGGAAGGGATTATAGATGTGTAGTCATAAGTGTGCTTTGAATGCGCGATCAAAGCACTTATGATTACACATCCGTATGATTCATGATGCCAGCCAATGCCTTAGACCTCCTAGATGCATGGTCTTTTGATTTTGGGGTGCTGTTCTTGATCTATCTTATTTTTTTGCATCAGGGTTCTAGAGTAAGGTGGACTTTGTTCTTCCAAGGACCCCCACGTCGAGCAACCACCTCCCCCCCGTTCCTCGAAACCCTAACCCCTAAACCCGGTAACGCCCCTCCTTGCGGCCCCGCGTGTTTTGCGCGTGTCATTTCGGCGTTGGGCACCAGAAAACATTAAAAACTCCAGAGTTTTTGCGCGTCGCATTCGCTGGCCGTGTTTTTTTATCCTCAAAATCACCGGATCGGTGTTCTCTCGCGCGAAAAAGTGCGCACAGCGATGTTTTCGACATGTGCGAGTAGCACCCAAAAAAAAGTGCTTGCTTTTTGAATACTGTTTTCGGGCGAAAACGCTGCTCACAGCGTTCTTGTGCTTGCGTGTTGCGTTGTACCAAGAGGCAGTGTACAGAGAGGCGAACATGCTGCAAATGCCAGCGTTGTGGCATCTTCGCCAAAGGCACAAACACTTGTGATCGCGTGTCTTGTTCCATAATACGTCGTATAGAGAAGGAAAAATGCTGAGAGATACAAAGAGATTCCCCAATTAGACATTAAATGGGGAGAGAAGGAGGGAGTATAGAGTGTGGAGTTTAGGGTTTTGAGTTTATATAGTTTGGGCTTAGCCTTAAGCCCTGAACCCTTTTTAAATCCTCTGAGCTTAAGCCCTAGGAAACCCGTACGTGAAAACCCTAATGGCTCAACCCAAAGGCGGAGGCCCTGAAAACCCCTCCCGAATGCTGAAACAGGTCTAGGGTTTAGGGTTGAGGGCTAGTATTGGGCTGGGTGCCGGGAGGGTCCGGGTGAAAAAATCTTAAAATTTGGGTGGGGTTTTAGTATTTCGACTCTCACACTGGCACACACGGGCGAGGCTTCTGGTACAATGATGCTGTGGGTCAAGCTCTGCAACGCTGTACAACCTGCCCTTGTGGGCGGGAAGTTCATGCCAGAAACCCGCTTTACATCGCAACAACTGCCAGATTGCCCGTCTCTGCACCGCGCCAAGCTCATGACTCCCCATGTGTCAGGATTGGAATAGCAAGCCTATCCTGCACAAAACTTGTTTAGGGTTTAGGGTTTAGGGTTGAAGCAGTTTGGACAAGCACAGCACGATGCAACACGTTCAAACCAGAAACTGGCTACTCGTGCCAGCTTATTTTTGTCGGTTGATTCTGGGTGTGCCGGCCCTTGCAGCCGCACCCAGTCATCTACTAATTGCTTAAGAACCCCGAAAAAATGAAAGACTCTTCCTTATTAAGGGTGATATAGGGATTATTGTTTTTTTGTTCTTTTGGGGTGCTTAAGCAAATAGCAGTCATGCATTACCATGCATGCAATGGCTACAGTGAGCATCCGGTCAGTACATGCCGGCTGCCCAGTACCTATGCCGCATGGCAACCGCAGGGGTTAGTACATCCCCGCTCGCTGCTTTGTCAGCGAGCGCTGAAGTTCAGGGAACTCTTGTCCCTTACCTTGGCCTCCAAACCGATGCTGTCCGTCGAGCCCTTCTCGGACTCAAGGCAAGGGGTGAGTGGAACTGAATCTGAAACATAGCCTGAAGAAGCGCAGTCGCACAACATGAATCACCTGTTTCTCTTCGTGGCTTGAGGCCAAGGTCGATGTCTATACAACAAACTGATGCAGCGATGCTGCGATGCTTACTAATTTCACTAAGCAAACACCTTTTCAGCAACTCCGTGGCGAAGATCAAAGGTGGATCTCCACCGAGATCTCGCAGTTCTTGGTGTCTCTGCAGATCGACTGTCTGAAGTCCCAATCTGCTTCTTCTCCATTCCTTGGTTGCTGCGTTCGTAAACCCCCCAAAAGGTGTACACTTTCAGTTTTATAGGGGGGGATAGTATCCCAAAAAGTGTAAAGTGTACTCACTCAGCTACTAAGATTCCGCAGCTGGCAGCATGTCTTGTCACCGAAATGGTGCTCGATCGGCTTTGCGCAGAACTGCTTGCGGGCTCCTTCGCCGATCGTGACAAAGGCGGTGACGCTGTCCACGCCTGAAGGCACAGAAGAAGAGCACTTCAACTCGATGCTACCTCGCCCCTTGGCCTTTTTGAATCCAGCACCATGCTTTCCACCAGTCTGCGTGGCGAGGATCACCATTCGGAAGGTGAAGGGCTCTGCCTGTCCGGGGAAGTGCAGCTGGAACTCTGGGCTGAGCAGCCTCTCTGAGTTGGATTCAAACTTCGCAGCATCCACATACCACTTGACCAGCTGCCGGTTCTCATCCAAGTGTGTGGCTTCGAGGGTCCCAGGCCGCGGCGAGACGCTGGGCGAGGTGGGCTTGGGCGAGCCCTGCGACGCTGGGCTCAGGCTGCCCAGCAAGCGGGGGTATTCGCATCCTGGCTGAACCACAGGCATTGGAGATGCAACCGGCATTGCCAGTGCCAATGGCACTGGCAAAAGCGACACCATTGGCGCTGCTTGGGCTAGGCGGGGCTGCGCGGGGAAGGCCGAGGCCGTCCCAGGCATGGGCGGTGCCTGCGTGGATGCCGGTGCCAAAGCCGGTGCCACTGGCATGACAGGGTGGTGGGACTCTGTCGCCTCCGTCATCTTCTCCTCTCGAACCATCGCGTCCCATTCCCATCGGTCAGGGGTTGCGGAGTGCAAGAAGCATGGCTTCGAGATGCTGGCCTTGGCCGGCAGCGTCTCCTCCGACTCATCCAGGCTCTTGCAGAGCGCTTCCAGATCCCAAGGTTCCGGCGTCTCAAAACGATTCAGCGTGCGCAGGGTCTGTAGCTTCTTGACCGTCTTCACCGGCTCTCTGGCATCCGGCGATTCCTCAATCACCTCTTTGTCGGTTTTGTGCTCGGTGACATTGCTTGGGGTGCAAAGATCGCCTTCAAACGCCACGGGCTCCTCCATTTCGAGCTGCTCCTCGGTGCCCTCCTCCAGTGCCGCTTCGGGCGCCGTCCACGAGCGTTGCAAGAACTGGCGGGGGCGGGCCTCGGAAACCTGAACGAAGGTGTTCACTACAGTGATGTCGTGCTCCATTAGAACTGGCATCGCATCTGCTGACGCCATGGTGTCGAGGGTGACGGATCAACGAAAAGCCGGGGGCTGTGCCGGGCTAGAAACTCGTCTCCTATGCACCTCGAGCCGTAAAGTATTTGGGGGAAGGGATTGTAACCCAGCAGAACAAGCCTTAACCTGCTTCGGCCTCCAACTATGTGCAAGGTCTTGATAAGGATGGGGCTTCCAGTGGTAAGCCTCTTGTTGGGTTAGTGGGGGTTTAGGGTTTAGGGTTTAGGGTTTAGGGTTTAGGCTCCCCAGGTCCAAACCCTAAACCCTAAACCCTAAACCCTAAACCGCAGGAGACTCAGGCGCGGGCGTACCAGCCTCCCAGGAAGAGCAAGGCCAGAATCTGAGTCGCTTGGAGAGGGAACTATCAGCGCGTTCGCGCCGTGTCTAGCCGAGCCTGGAACCTGTAGGTGTAGGGTTTAAGGGTTTGAGAGTTTAGGGGTTTAAGGGTTTAAGAAGCTCTTAAGGGCTTAAGGGTCCAGCTTGGATCGCGTCGGCCATGTCACCCTGAAACCACAAACTCCCCGGCAACCTGGAAAGAAAAAGCAACCCTTTCTTGCTCCCAGAGGCCTTCATCCCCTAAGAAAGGAGCTACAAGTACGAGTAGAAAGACAGAGACAGAGACAGAGAACGAGAGAGATAATGGTAATGCTGTTACGCCTGATGCTGAGGGAAGCGCACCACCCTAACCCTTTTGCAGCTGACCACCCGAAACCCTAAACCCTAAACCCTAAACCCTAAACCCTAAACCCTAAACCCTAAACCCTAAACCCTAAACCCTAAACCCTAAACCCTAAACCCCTAAGCCTAAAACCCTGAACCTCTCGGCCCCAGGCGATGGGGATGGTGCGGCCCATGTAGACATTGACGCCTTTGGAGATGAGGAAGCCGATATCCACCACCCTCTTGGGTCCCTGATCCTGCACCAAAGGCACTTGGGGGTTCAACCCTAAACCCTAAACCCCTAAACTTCCACACCCTAAACCCCTAAACCCTAAAACCCGAGCACTGGCACCTGCGCTGGATACTCCATCGCTCCTTCTTTCAATCTCATCAACTCAATTCGCTGCTTCTTCGTCCGAATCCTTCGTCCGACGTGTCCGCAGACTGCTTGCATAAACCCTTTTGCTGCCGGGCTGCTTCAGTAAGCCCGAAACCCTAAACCCCTTGACTCTACGTAAACCCTTAGAGCTTGGGGATGGGTTTTGGGAGCCGATTCTCCCTGTCCGCACGTCGACTTATTCAGGCTTCTAGTACCGCTTACAGGGATGTACGGCTGGGAAGGATTTTCAGTAAACCCTAAACCCTAAACCCCAAACCCTAAACCCTAAACATCGAACGGAGTGTTCTTTTGGTCTGAGGAGCAAGGTCCTTAACCAGGCCCGGGCCATGTGCCCGTACACTTGCCGCAGGGCCCGCAGGGCCCGTAGGGCCCGTAGGGCCCGCAGGGACCGTACAGGCCGGAGGAGCCCGTAGGCGCCCCCAGGAAGCCGTATGGCCCTTAAGAGCCCGTATGAGGCCCGTAGGGCCCGTAAGGCCCGTAGAGCCCGTAGAGCCCGGTATACGGTCCCATAAAGCCCGTAAAGCCCGTACGGTCCTTAAGGCCCCCAAGGCCCGCAAGGCCCGTAGAGCCCGCAAGGCCTGTAAAGCCCCTAAGCCCGTACGGCCCGCAACACCCGTACGAACCCGTACGGGCCTACGCGGCCCCTGGCCTGGTGAGAGACCTTTCTCGGTCTGAGGGTTTAGGGCTTATGGGGCTTAAGGGCTTAGTAGAGACTCTAGGGTTCTATACTCGTCTTGGAACCTTGTAAAATGTAAGTTCAAAATGTTCCCTTGGGTTGTAAGTAAAATATAAAAATACATCCAAACGGGGGGGGTCATAGGGCTTAGGGTTCTCAAGCACCCTCTCCTCCAGCAGCATGAAGGATGTGAAGTAGGAGACCGTGAACAGCCCCAGGGAAGCCCCGGCCAGGGAGTAGAAGAGCGCCTCAGCGCGCGCGCGGCGCGCGCTGTGCGCGCGCGGAGTCACTCACGGGGCAAAGTCCTAATGTCCCTGATGCTCGACATCGGCGCCGGCCGTTTTTTTTTGACCTCTTAAGCCTTAGAGCCCCATATGTGGGGCATTTCCTCGGGGCTGCCGTATTTCTGTAGGACGCCATAGGAGCCTCCGAAAGTTCGACCCCTCTGCGTTAGAAACCCTACCTCCCTTTATGTGGGTCGTGCAAGGGGTCCTGGCGTTTTTGGAGGGCCTGACTGTTCATCTGCCAGGACCTGGTTTTAGGGTTTATAGGGTTTAGGGTCAGAGATGAACTCGCAGAACTTACCTCTGTCGCACCATGACGCCTAGAAGATGCCACGAAACATCGCGAAACCCTTCAGTCTTGTCGTGATGTACTCGCGACGCTGTCATTGTAGCCTTAGGCTCAAAATAGCCCCCAGAAGCCTGTGCACAAGAAGCAGGCTTAGGGATATAGTAGACTACAGTAGCAGCAAACTTCGGCCCTATAAAAGGTCAACTGCTAGAATGAAGCCCAGGGCGCGGTCTGCGGCAGGCGATAGGCAAAGACCTGGTTGATCTCCCGCATGGTCCTTAACGGCGTGTGGGGCTAGGGTCTTTTTTTTACATTTAGGGCGCGGGGTGTAGGGCAGCTCTTTCCCTAAACCCTGAACCCTATAAACCTTAGTTTTCTATGGGTCCACGGATGAAATCTGACAAACTGGATGGCAAGAACTTTAAAGGCGTGTAGGGGTGGTTGGCTTCAAGGGTTTCAAGTGGGGACGTCCCCCCCCCAATACTAACAGTCCTCCATAGCGATTTCTGTCCCCCCTACTATAATCCCGATTAAGGATTAGGAACATCCCAAGTTTCAAGGGTTTGGGGTTTAGGGTTTAGGGTTTAGGGTTTCGGGTTTAGGCTTTAGCCCGAGGTTGCAAACCCTTTCTAACCTTTTGAACCTGGAAGCTGCTTCATGACAGGGCTGAGGGCCGCGCTCGTCATCAGAGACCAGCAGACCCCTTCTAACCTATAAATCCTGAATCTAAATCCTAAACCCTAAACCCGAAATCCTAAATCCGAAATCCTAAATCCTAAATCCTAAACCCTAAACCCTAAACCCTAAACCCTAAACCCTAGTCGGCCAGGTGCAGGCCGTGCGGCGCGTCCACTACAGGCTGCTCCAAGGGCCCGTAGGGCGGGCGCACTTCCTCCAAGCACTTCTTTGCTTCGCGGCCCAAGGACCCATGTTAAAGGAATCGCACCCTTTCTGGAGTTTAGGGTTTAGGGTTTAGGGTTTAGAAGGGAACTCAGAAGCCAAAAAAGAGAAAAAAAGGGCATCACTGGTCTACCGAGTTTACGGAAGGCAGGCTGGTCTCAGTTGCCATAGCTTCAGAGCAGAGGAACTGCCGCTACTTATTCGGGGTGGCAATCGAATCTCGGGCCCCAAGACTAGGACTCGAGATGAATTTCCCGGAGCCTTGCTTCAAAACTTGGCGGATGAACGGCGGGGCGGTTGAAGCGTGTCATCTTCTCATGCTTTTGTTTCGCAGCTGTGTCCTTGACAAAGGAGATCTCCTCGGATATGATCTCAAAGGCCGAACCCCGTGTGGAAAGGACCATCAGCACCTCGGCGCACAAGCTGCCCTAAGACCCCGAAACGGTAAAACCGACAACTTCACATCCCAAACCCCGAAACGCCCGGAACTGAGGTCCAAGCCCTAAACCCTGAACCGAAAGTGGACCGAAATCTTACTGAACCGACCAGGGGTTGCCTTGGTAAGCGTCTCGATGCACTCCCCCCCAGCACCAGCAAAGACAAAATGCTCTCTACCTTGGCCCAGAAACCCTTCCGAAAACATTCCTAAAACCCTCTTAGACACAATAAGGGGAAAGAACAACTATCCGATCCTGTACGAGATACCCAAAGAGCCCAATACCCTTCAAGAAGGAAATGTACCTAAAATTGGGCTCTCTGGGTAGGTGCCCTTTTGCAACATTCTTCAGGACGCCGCCCGGAATGCTCCCCCTGCTGGAGCAGGTGCGCAGCAGAGACCAAAGACCAAGAACTAGGTGCCCTAAAACCGCGACCCTAGGTTTAGGGTTTAGGGTTTAGGGTTTAGGGTTTAGGGTTTAGGGTTTAGGGTTTAGGGTTTAGGGTTTAGGGTTTAGGGCTAGACCCTAGCACCAATAGAGCTCCAAACCCTATACGAAACCTACATAAACCCGAGATCCCTATTTAAACCCCTAGTTTCCTCACTCGGGAATTCGGCCGCGCCGTCGAGACTTAGCCCCGGGCTGCACTGGCCAGGAAGCAAAGCACCTGGGATGTGCAGAGCTTCGGGTTTAGGGGTCTTAGAGACGATAATTTTAGCCCTTTATGGTGTTAAGGCTTAAATACTTTGGTTTGCAGTTTAGGGTCAGAGATTTCAGCATGACATGTTGCCAGTTTAGGGTGTCGACTCTCGATCTCTCACGAGCATCTGCTGCATAGGGGGTCGCGCACGCTTGCAACACTGTCCTTGGACAGGCAGCACAACCCCTAAACGAGGGGCGGGCGGGCTTTTCAAAAGACGGGGCAGCTGCACTGCTGCCGCCTGAACTGCCCTACCCCGCAATGCACTGGTATAGCAACTGAAGCAAACATGCCATGCAGCCAGCCGTCAGCTGTGGGGGTAGTGCTTGTCGCACGCACGGGGGACGCAGGCTTGCCAAACATGTTGCAAGATTTCAAGATGAAAGCACCGAGCACGACGCCGTCCATGTCACAATCAGGTTGATGGAATGCTCAACATTTCTCGTTCTGAACATAAAACGAGTTCTAGAATTCTCAATTCTGCAGAGTAGGAGAAGTATGATGGCAACAATCTGCGCAGACATGCCTTGTAACGGACCCCGCGTGCATACTTGAGCCGTAGTTTATTGCGTTCAGGGTTGAATGGCGAAACCGTAAACCCCAACCTCTTGGGATGTTCCTCCTTATACTAACAGTCCGTAATAGGGATTATAGAATCCCCTACTATAATCCCTATTAAGGACTGTTAGTATAAGGGGGAACATCTCTACTAACCCCCTTTTTGCAGCCAGGCAGTGTTCGAAGAGGCTGCAACCCCACCCCCAAAAACCCTCTCTCTCGCATGCACTCAGTCCCTTAAACCCCTAACCGTAAACCCTAAACCACCCAAACCCCTAAACACTAAACCCCTTAACCCTAAACCCCTCAACCCTAAACCCCTAACTGCTTTTTGAACCCGGTGTCCGGGGTTGAGCCGTCGTATACGCTAAACCCCTCGAGGAATCAGTCTGCTGCCTCTGCCGCCGGGTGACCCAGATCCTTGGTTTTCGGACGAGAACAGCTTCACTGCACTTTGTGATGTCGATCTTAAACCAAAAAGCCGAAAGATAGCAACCACCCCGAGGAACAAGCACGAAAATGAACGAGCAGCAAAGGGCGACACCTCTTCAAGCCCCCCTGAAGCCCTTACCCCCCCCCCCCCCCCACCCTAAACCCTAAACCCTAAACCCTAAACCCTAAACCCTAAACCCTAAACCCTAAACCCTAAACCCTAAACCCTAAACCCTAAACCCACTCCAAGGCTCATCATGCACCATGCCGCCCACCAGCTAAAGGTCCCCTCGAAGATCACAACATCCTCGGCCGCGGTCTGGCCGGGTCCTCAAAGGCAGCGAAATGGGTTTAGGGGTTTGGGGGGGTTTAGGGTTTAGGGTTTAGGGTTTAGGGCTTAGGGCTTAGGGTTTAGGGTTTTCGCATGGGGTTTGGGGTTTAGGGTTCAGGGTTTAGGGCTTGGGGTTGAGGACCTAGGCTTGGCTAGTTGGCAGACTTCTTCTGCTAGGATGCGCATTCGAAGCTTGGCTCTTGCAGGGCACTCCGGATGTGTCTTCACATGTTGGGAAAAAACGTTTAGGGTTTAGGGTTTAGGGTTTAGGGTTTAGGGTTTAGGGTTTAGGGTGTCTCGAGAGAGTTGAGAAAGGAAACTCCTCTGAAGCCCGCATCTCCTGAAATGATCACATAGAAAATGGGGGGTTTGCGATACTAGAGGTACCTTATTGGGGTCCTTTTTATGGAAGGGGATCCTACTATATGGGGGTGTATATTACGGGCCCCTTATTGTCGTAAACCCCCAAATGTCAAACAGCCTTCAGATTCATCATGCTGTTCATACAACCCACAAACAACCTCGAATAACCTCCAGCACAGGCTTCGACTTTGACCTCTAAATTCCGGGTTTGCGGGCTGGAAGGAAGCTTAGGGGGAGCTGGTAGTTTAGGGTTTAGGGTTTAGGGTTTACGGCTTCGGGTTAAGTGTGACGGAGCGTCGCGCCACGTCGCGTTCAGGCATCCTCCCTGTTGCCTCAGAGCAGCACGAGTGCACATCTGAAACTCACTACTCACTGGGCTGCAGTAATCCAGGCGTGGACAGCAAGCTCCACAACATCTAAGTGTAGTTCCATGGTCCCTTAAAATGGGTCCTCAAAGCGCACCCCTGATTTACCCCTTCATCACAAGCTCCTATCCTTCCCATCTCGGGTTTAGGGTTCGGAGGGCTTCAGGGTTTATGCGGTATAGGTCTAGGGTTTAGGGGGTGTTTTAGGGGGTGCCCTAATTCCCTATTATCGTAACGTAATCCTGAAAAGAAGGCATAAACAGAGGGGCTTGTACGGTTGGAGCCATTAACCCTTCGTATGGTCCCTTACCCTTGTTTATAGGCATCCGCAGCATGGGCCCTTAGCCCAAACCCTAAACCCTAAACCCTAAACCCTGAACCCTAAACCCTAAACCCTAAACCCTAAACCCTGAACCCTAAAGTGTATATAGGGGTGATAGAACCTGAGGCCCAACTTCAGGGCCCATACTTGGAACCCCCTAGAGACCTGGCCATGCCAAGGTTTAGGGTTTAGGGTTTAGGGTTTAGGGTTTAGGGTTTAGGGTTTAGGGTTTAGGGTTTAGGGTTTAGGGTTTCCTATTTAGCTTTCGTAGGGGTTCTAAGGGGATACGGTTTTGGGGAGAATGTAGCTGGAAACTGTATGTTTCGGTAGCTGTTAGCAGAATTACTTTATCAAAGCGTTAGATTTACTTAGCTTGCTCCTCCCATTACCAAGGAATTTTAAAACAAAATCAAACAGGTGTGGCTCAGAAAGTTCGGCTCCTGTACCAAACAGGGGACCTTAAGAGTCATTCTGGTATAACAATTTCGGGAATATAAGAGAGCACTCGTAGTGAATAGCTATTATGGCATAACTATATAAGCAATGTAAGAGAACACTCGCCGTGATTCTTCCGGGACCCCCTGGAGTAGATCCCAGGCGCCGTCACAAGGCATGTAGCGGCCCGACTCTGCGGCCCATTCGCTGCTCTTCGTCCATGGCCGCGGCCCTCGCACCCCTTTGCAGCCTTTTTTTTTAAGCCAACATATTCTTGAATATGACCCTCTGGAGCCTTAATCAGGGAAAATATAAAACATCCCAAAGGCCTACCGAGTTAGCTGAGAAGTGCAAAGAAGTTGGTTTTCGATTGCAGCACAAAGGCAAGTTTATCTTGCTGCGACACTTGCACTTCTGCTTGCGTGGAAAA